TTTGTCCATTGAGCTACAGACAAACGGATCAGCGTTCCGAGCTCGCCAGCACCCCGGCTTTCTGTCGCACTGCTCGGATAAAGTGCCGAACCCGAACCTGTTTCCGACCTCGTCCATGTTCGAATCCCCAGATGGTTTGGTTGTACCGACGCCGTCAAAAGCAAGGAAACGCTTGCGAGACATCGCCGCTACGAAACTGACGTGTCCCGGAACGTCCCGCGATGTTCTACGCCCATTTCAGACGTCGCGCATGTTCGAATCCGCATAAGGTTTGCCTGTACCAACGCCGTCAAACGTAAGGAACCGTTTGCGAGACATTACCGCATGTGTCCCAGTGAGTTCTTAACCCATTTCCGACCTCGAATCCTCATGTTCGAATCCTGAAAGGGTTTTGCTTGTCCCAACTCATGCAAAAGATGGTCACTGTTTGCAGGACATCGCCGCTACAAAATTGGCGTGTGCCTGAGTCAACCAGAATGTTCTAAACCCATTTACCACCCAGACAATGTTCGAATCCCGATAATCGCCTCTTAAGACAAGCATGGGTTGCTGAAGACCAATTCTAACCCTCATCTTCAAGGGCAGCATACATACTGCAAAAGACACTTGACGGTCAAAGGGAAATAACCCTAGGTTTTCTGAGCGATGTATTCGGTATTTTGTCAATATTACCACCAAGCGGTGTTACTTTTAGCATGCAGCCAAGAACAAAAGATGAGCTACATGTGTCCGACTAACTTCATGTAAACTTTCAATAGTTTCTGTGGAGAACCTTACAAGATGTGATCTTTATATAAAGGAAAAATTCGGTGAAAGAAATCATCAAAATCAAAATCAAACAGAGCCGTCACTAAGACAGATATCCCAAAACGGCTAACAGAGTTTGGTGTGTTATGTGTGGAGACAATTCTCAGAAAGTTTGAAAGCATTTCATGCAGTGGATTCAGAGGAGATAGGATTTGAAGACAGGTACCCAAAAAACCCTGTGAAAACCTTCAATCCAATATGGCAGCAACTAAAAAAGATATCCAAAATCGGCTAACAGAGTTTGATGTGATATGTATGGAGACAGTACTCAGAAGGTTTGGATGCATTTCATGCAGTGGATTCAGAGGAGATAGGATTTGAAGACAGGTACCCCCAAAACCCCGTAAAAACTTTGAATCCAATATGGCTGCCAAAGCACGTGACCAATGACCCAGATCAAAGAACAGAAAATGTTCAGCACCCGAAGCAGCAGACATGTGTAAAGTTTGAAAGTAATCGGACGAGCGGTTGCGGAGCAATAAGGCGAAATATATCTTCAAAAAATACTTGTTTTTCAGTTATCTGCCCTTGGCCATTGGGCCTACGGCCTTGGAATTTTTGTGGTATCTGGTACCTAACAACTTGCACCCACACACAAAATTTGAACAAAATCGAGCCAGTGGTTAAACTGCTATCTCTGGAACAAAAAACGGCGGAATAATAAATAATAATAATAATAATAATAATAATAATAATAAATAATAAATCGAACGATTACAATAGGGCTCTACAGCCTTTCGGCTTGGAGCCCTAATAAATAATAAATCGAACGATTACAATAGGGCTCTACAGCCTTTCGGCTTGGAGCCCTAAATATCTGTTGACAACGAGTTAGCGGTGCACATGCTTTGCAAATCCTGCAGTCGACCGAAACCTGCATGACACTTTACGAACCGGATTTCGATTTCGGTGCGCGATTTTGATTGGACTATGCATAGACTCGTTAGTCCAGCCTAAATGTAACTCCATAATACCAGCCTAGTTCGCCAAGGGTGGAAACTGGAATTTTATAGTCAGTTAACTCACTTGCCTCGGGAAGATGGACATGAACAAAAGCCAACAAGCTTCATAAGGTCTGAGTGAGTGTGTGAGTGAGTATGGTTTTACGCCGCTTTTAGCAATATTCCAGCAATATCACGGCGGGGGACACCAGAAATGGGCTTCACGCATTGTACCCATGTCGGGAATCGAACCCGGGTCTTCGGCGTGACGAGCGAACGCATTAACCATTAGGCTACCCGACCGCCCCTCATTAAGTCTGAGGATGTTGACAGTGGAATCAACAGTTGAAGAATATGGTGTTCATGTCTATGACACACTGATTGGATGATTATAAACATGGGGAAATGGACAAAGACTAATAAAAACAAAGAAGAGTTCAGGATTGAAGGTGATAGGAAAAAGCTACCCAAAACACCCATTGGTTTGGACCATGCACGTGCACTACGTGAGAATTAACAGTCAATGTGGGTATAAAATGGTTCATTCCACATGCAATTGTGCTGAAGTTGAAAATGCGACGTTTTTAAAAAATACTTCTATCTCTTATCATCTGTCTGTTAATATTAGCCCACTCAGACACAGAATCCTGACTCCGAGACAAACAAAAATGTTTTGTATCTTAATGCCGAGCACCAGGCTTGGTAACAACAAATAGCCTCTTTTTGCGCCTTTTGGGGATGATGCAGACGGAGATTGAACCACCGACCTTTCGCTCTCAGACGGATGCTCTATGCACTAGAACACGGAGGGCCCACCCACCCGGATGCTCTATCCACTAGACCACGGAGGGCCCACCCACCCGGATGCTCTATCCACTAGAACACGGAGGGCCCACCCACCCGGATGCTCTATCCACTAGACCACGGAGGGCCCACCCACCCGGATGCTCTATCCACTAGAACACGGAGGGCCCACCCACCCGGATGCTCTATCCACAAGACCACGGAGGGCCCACCCACCCGGATGCTCTATCCACTAAAACACGGAGGGCCGACCCACCCGGATGCTCTATCCACAAGACCACGGAGGGCCTGCCCACCCGGATGCTCTATCCACTAGACCACGGAGGGCCCACCCATCCGGATGCTCTATCCACTAGAACACGGAGGGCCCACCCACCCGGATGCTCTATCCACTAGACCACGGAGGGCCCACCCACCCGGATGCTCTATCCACTTAAACAAGGAAGACCCACCCACCCGTGTTACCTACCTGGGACTTCCATCTTGGTTTCCCAGCGGGGTAATATCAACTCTGCCAGACACAGTGTCCACCACACAGGAATTCAGTCCCGGGGTAGCCGCTGTGGCTCCTTGTAGGACTAAGCCTACAGCTATGACACAGAGATACACAGGGGTTGGCATGGCTGCTGTGAGTGTGTGAGGGCAAACTGACCTCGTGATGGATAATATATCACATGCTGATAAGATAATCAGTTGATATCGTATCCTTGTGATATACAGGGCCCATTGACTCAGATTTGAAATTTTGTTATGAATCAAAGTAAAATATTATACAAAATAAAATTGTTGGATGGTGGCTAGAAATGAAACACACAAGAAATGGTTATTCGATGATGATGATGATGATGATGATGATGATGATGATGATGTTTTTATACGGGTATCATAGTCGTGTTTTGGACCTTTTGTTTGCAATGTTTGCAACGTTTGTAATTATTTGTTCAAATCTTTCCTTGCCCTATAGTTTGCAATTAAAGTTATTTATTTTAGGTGATATTTGAGATTTGAGCTTGTTATGTATCTGTGACACAAAGGTGACGTGAATGGTTTAAATATTTCATTGGGGGACACTAGACATGGGATTCGAACCTGGACCCGGTATTCGGCATAACGAGTGAACACTTTAACGACTGTGCTTCACTGATGAATTCGTTGCCCCGAGAGTTTACGGTTTGCGGTTTCTGGTCGTTGGTCTGTCAGAAGGAGGGTTTCGTAAATGTGGAAATATGGTCGATGCGAAGTTAAATTTCATCTCACTCAAACATCTAGTGAAACAGTATGTAGGCTAATGTCAACGGTCAGTTTTATCGCATATTATGTCGAATACTCACTCGCTTAATTTTGAATTATAATGACAGGTTTTGGAGACGAATCTCTCATACTGCCTTGGGAGTTGGGTTAGCCTTGTTGTTATAGCGAGAGAGGGCATTTCTGGGGATATTTTCCGACACCATCAAAAGCAGTGTAAAACCCCACTCACTCTTTTCATATCTCTTTCTCTCTCTCTCTCTCTCTCTCTCTCTCTCTCTCTCTCTCTCTCTCTCTCTCTCTCTCTCTCTCTCTCTCTCTCACACACACACACACACACACACACACACACCACACACAACCACACCACACCACACCACACCACACCACACCACACCCCAATTCCCGCTAACGAATCTTAAATGTGATATGTTCTGATATTTATTCATATTTAAAGTGTACTGATACGGCTACTATTAAGTGAAGTAACGTGATCCATTGTTTTCACCAGCGCTGTATACGTTATACTGCTAATTCGTATTGACAAAGGCCAAAGATCGACCCCTACTACCGCGACCCGCCTCGGCAAATGAACGAATGATGTGGTACATTGCCATCCTCATAGAGAGCCTCATTCGGCCGATGAGACTACCAATTTGTATATACATATCAATATTACATGTGGTATTAAAATATTTTTAGTTTAAATCTTACGTCATAAGATAAAGAAAATATATCATGTTATTTTTAAAAAAGATTTACGTGGAGAGTACATTTTAAAACACATTTCATCCAAATTCCCTAAAATAACACATTTGGCATTAAAAGATCCATCCTCTTTGGTGTTATTAATAACAAAAAATAAAAGCGTCAAAATCCTTTCTATATTCATAAGAAGTCTCTGCTAAAGGTGTTGTCAGCAAATGCTGGATTATTTAAGTATTCGTAATTCAGCTTAACGAATATCATAATAAAAAAGGACATTGTAAAAAGAAATGTTTTTCTTCTTTTATACAGTTCAAACAAAATGTTCATATTATTAAATTGGGGGACGAGGGGATTACAATAATACCCGTTTCTATTTCTAGTTTTAAAGAGCCACGCCTTTAAGAAGCTAAAAATAGAACGCCTACGTCATGTGATCTGTCGGGGGGGTGTACCATGGTCCGGCAGATAAGACAACCTGTCCGGCCTTCATTCGTCACCCCGCTGCAATAATGACCCGGGTCTTGACCCTTGCGTTGTGTCTACTGGTCATGTTTAAATCTGGAATCTGTGACTTTCCTTTAAACACTTGCGACCCCATAAGCACGTGTTCATGTGAAACTTGGGAAGGACGAATTGACCTTCACGCACTTGCTAATACCGACGGGACTCCGCGGTGAGTGTGAAAGTGTGTATGATGTTGAAATGATATGCAAACGTAAGGTTTACCTGATGCGATTTCGCATTGGTTCAATTTGGTCACGTGGTGTTTTTATTCTGTCTCAAGGCAGTTCTGGCATGGGTACGTTTTCTGATTTAGTCGGGTGTTGCTCAAACAATGCAAGACGCCTCAGTGGTCTAGTGGTAGAGCGTCCGCCCGGAGAATGGAAGGTCTTGGGTTTGATCCCCGGCCGCGTCATACGGCCTCAGACCACAATTAATTTCCTTCTTTGCTATCTACAGTGACATGACAGCCCACCATAATTATTATCAGTCGTAGGCTGTTCTCCTGTTGCATGCTGACCAACCTGCCACTTGTCACTTAATACAAGTTTCGGCCTGCATTGACCAGCTCCCTTTCGCGGTAACCACTGTCAACAGTGCTCACCGGAAGTTTCGAGCCGAAACACACAGAGCGGCCTTCAACTTGGGGGCCAAGTCATGGGAAGCTGGAATCAATACCTTCACAGCATGTGGCTAACAAAAAATTGGAAACATACTACAATGTCTAATCTTTCATTTAAGCTATCACAAGTCACTCCCAAAAAAATTGGCACAGGCTGAACAGCCCATTTGAACAGGGCACTATATTCTCCTATTTTCCTTCGGTTCATGGTCAAACTTAGGGGGGATAACTGTGGTCTGAGGCCATACTAAAAGACGTTAAAAGATGGTACTTGTTGCATGCAGAGTGATCTCCCTTTAACCCGGACTCCGCTAATCCGGAATGTTGGGAACAAACAGGTATATGTCATTTAAATGAATGGATATGATTTGCAAAGTTTGTTAAAAATCCGTCAAACTGATCGGGATAAAAAAAATACTTTTCTTTCATATTTAAACATTTCAGTGTCTCCAAACATTTCGGATGAGTGAGTGAGTTAAAATATGACGTCGCTTCGGCATTATTTTAGCCATATGGCGACGAGACAAAGTTGGTATATACACAATTTATTGATAAATATAGAGCTATATATAAGAGCAAATTATCAAAGTTATTTGGGTATAACAGCATTTGGGATGAGCTGAGGTGAGATTTTGGTATGACGTGGTCAGAGGATCGAACCGCTGACCTTCCATGCTCGTCGTAGTTTATTAAAATAACGATCGGATTCTTGCCTGAGAGTAATCACAGTATTCTCAGGAACCTTGTTCTTTTTCTTGGTCCAGGCTTGATTATCTTCAGACAGTCGTGTCATTGCCGTTATATTGAAGTAAGTGAGTGAGTGAATTGGGTTTAACGCCGCTTTTAACAGTATTACAGTTATATCACGGCGTGTCAGCTTAATGTGGGAAGAAAGCCCGAAGTGATGCAGGTCTCAGACGTTTACCACTTCGGTAAAACCCACCAGCACGGGTATGGTGCTGGCAAACCTAGAAACATAATCGGGGCGAACCGGGATTCGAACCCACACTCATAGGTTTCTGGCGTGCCCAAGGGACGCAACTCTGCACAGCGAATCGCGGCGCCTTAGACGACTGGGCCACCCGTGCCCCCGTAATATTGAAGACTCATTCACTCACTGACAACTCAAAGAAACTCATTTCTCGGAGTGAAGTTTATAAATTTAGCCAGTGTCAACATGACATATATCGAGGATGTATGTTACACGCAGCAATACTAATCCGCAATGGGCTGGGATTCGCTAGTTTCACTAGTTCGTATTACAGTTCACAATCCGGTAACCCTCTCCACCCTAAAATAAGTTTTAATTAATTATTATTGATATCAAAGTGTATACCTAATTTCTATTTACAAGAGGTTTTGTTATCAAAATCTGCCTGCACATGTTGAACGAACTATATGCGGAAGTTCGTTCGGAATGCGGTTTAAAGTGAAATCAGATCCGGGGTAGAATAGGTCTTCAACAACCCATGCTTGCCGTAAAAGGCGACTATGCTCTGTGCCTAGTGTTAGAACGGCGACTTTTGGAGGTCGGAGTTTCGCCAAAGTTGCCCCTGAGCTATGGAATAGGCTGCCATTGGATATCAGGAACATTGACAGTCCTAGCTTGTTCCGATCAAGACTCAAAACCTATCTTTTCACCAAATCTTTCTTGGAGTATTGAGGTTTTGTGTTTTCCTAGCTGTGTTATGTCTCTTTTTTGTGTAGACTCAAATTAAATGAAGCGCTTTTGAGCAGTTCTTCGAACTGGATACCAGCGCTATATAAATCTGTAGTTATTATTATTATTATTATTATGCTTGTCGAAGAGGTGACTAACGGGATCGACTGGTCAGGCTCTTTGACTTTGTTGATGCATGTCATCGTATCCCATGTCTGGTCCAAACTCGATTACTTACAGACCGTCCGTCATATAGCTGGAATATTGCTGAGTGCGGCGTTAAACAACAAACAAACAAAAATAAAGTGAAATCATGCAATATCTCTACTCCATTGCTGCCTGGGGTATTATATAGGTAACGGAATAAGCCGATTTGACCCGAATGACTGCAATTATTGATCTCTGTCTCTTGTTCAGTGACGAGTGGACGTTCTTTCAGTACTGCTTGAACTGGTTTTGTTTCATGTCACAGAGCATTCCAGATCTCAATCTTTTAAAATAAATCTTAATTAATTTGATCAAGTGTTATCGCACATCAAAACCATGGTTCGTTCATGTGGTGGGGACACGGCACGTGTGCCCTGGACCTTCAAGGCGTCCACTGTTGAAATTTGCGTCCCATGGTCTGCAATTATCCCTGATGATGTTTCTAGGTTTGTCTCCACCATGCCAATCCTCGTGGACTCCTACATCAAGCTTGAAATAACTGAAATACCGTTCAAAGCGGCGTTAAACCCAACTCACTCACTCACTCACTCCTGCCGCATAGGACGTGTAATATATCCTCCAATACTCCCCCTGCAGGTTCCGGGACATCCCCGACCCCGACGGGAAGACGTTCTACTCCTGGAACCCCTGCTATGGATTCGATGAGGAAGGATGCCGGGATGTGGCGGTAAGCTGGGCAACCTGGGCTATTTTATACACGAATTAAAACAGAGGCTCGAATCCGATTTTCAATATGGCCACCGCGGCTGCCATATTGAAAACGCTTTTTATGGACATTACTAATCCATTTTCTTTCAATATGTAAATGAAGTGTGGTATATGTGTAGGTCTTAAGACATAGGTTACTTTTTTCGCAAACAAGCACCGACTACCCCCGCCACTCACTCAACTTCTGGTGTGAAATTACCAAACCTAGGCAGTTGAACGTTGGCTTTTTTCCATGCCGATGACTGTATTTTGTTGTTTGGCGTTATAAATGAAGGTGAAAGTACATACGGCTCAGAGTTGAAACATTGTGTGATGTAATTTTAACTGTAACTGTTGTATATTGCCATTTAGCTCTAAATGAGTTCATTTGTTCTTGCAGATTTAGAAACATTCTGGATATTTAGTTGTTTTATTTTTTATGATACTTTTGTCCTCTGTACGTATGTACTTTAGCTAAGTGGCTGCTGACATTTTCAACTGTAGACGAAATAACCAGGTGAGCTACATTACAGTGGCACTATTTTTTGTTTTAGAACGAATATTACATGGTTATGTAAGAACTAGAGGAAATGATAAAATTGCAATCTTCATAATCACGACTTTGGTGGGATCACTATAAATATCATTGCGCCATGTACACAGTTTTCGTGCAACACGTTGTGCCGTTCGCGAACCTGACAGGTGGGAACTGAGGTGAGGTTAAATGAGGTTTAACGCCCCGTTTAAGATTATTGCACTTATATAGCGATGTGTATGAACGTGTGTGAGGCTGCTTGTACTAGTCCGGACTAGTGAAAGTTTTATAGTGTTAGCCCACTGAAATTCCATGCCGCAGTTAACATGGATACCCACTCAGACACACTATACTCACTCCGAGACGTCCAGTCTCTGTTTGAACCCCTTAATGCCGAGCGCCAGGAACTGTTTCACCTCTGCTTTATCGTTGCGTTGTTAAGAGGATCGTGTTTGGAAAATAAAGAATACAACTTGCAGTATCCCGTGACATCATTTGAGTTCAGTCATTGCTTTGCACTACAAGTAAGATTTCTGTTTCCACAGGACCGCCTCCGTGGTCTTGTGGTAGAGCGTCCGCCCGGAGAGCGGAAGGTCCGGGGTTCGATCCCCAGCCGCGTCATACCAAAAGACGTTAAAAGATGGTACTTGTTGTTACCCTGTCTGGCGCTCGGCATTAAGGGGCTAAAACAAGGACTGGTCGGCTCGGAGTCAGTATACTGTGTCTGAGTGGGGTATTCCTGTTAAACTGCGGCATGGTATCTCAGTGAGCTAGCACTATAAATCGGCATCAGTCCGGACTAGTACAAGCAGCCACACAAACACAAACACGTGCATGCACGTCGCTATATAAGTGCAATAATCTTGGACGCGACGTTAAACCCCATTTCACCTCACCACCTCACCTCTGTTTCCACAGATGTGTAAGATCACGGACCACGGCTTGTCCAGCATGAGTCTGGGTCAGCAGTCCAGTCGTCTCTATGTGGCCGACACACGGTATGGACAGTTGCTGCAATACACGCAGTGGGGAGGTGCGAACAAGTACGTATATCATGATACCACGGTGGCCCATAAGGGACATGGAGTCTGTTTTTCAATATTTTGATGTTTAACTTACTTTTATCTTAGCCTTTTGCAAATTAACACAATCTGCCATACAAATATGTGATAAATCATGTATAAAAAACATCCGAAAACATAGAAAATGTACTTTTAAGTAGCTTTTGAGTCGCTGAAATGTGAAGTGAAAATGTCAAAAACTAAAATGGAAATGTCACGATAAATGTAAGTGAAATATCAAAATATGGAAAAACAGACTCCATGTCCCTTATGGGCCACCGTATGATACAGTATACAGCCTGACGTGAATCCCTCTCGCTGGACAAGAATCCATAGAAATATATCATCTCAATAAGTTGGGTAGGGCAATCATTGTGTAGCTGACAATATGCTTCACTCCGTCATTTACACACGAGGACCCCACCTAAGCACCACCGCTTCCTTATATTTCATACAGCTCAAACTTATTTATCTACTGTAAAACAAACTCACGCACTCACAGTGGCATTTCATTTATCTTGATTAATGTCTGTGATATTCCTCCGATGCCTGCTGAGACATTGATACAAAACACTCAGTGATGATACCTAGACTAACACTTAGTCTGTGAAACATCTTTTTAAAAGAGTCTTTCTTCATCTGCTGTTCATATGTGAAATAAAAAAAAATAGACTTGGTTTAATTTGATCCTGTCTTGCCTATGCTTTTAGCACACACACACACACACACGCACACGCACACACACACACACGCACGCACGCACACACGCACGCACGCACAAACACACAAACACACACACACACACACACACACACACACACACACACAAACCCAAACACACACACACACAAACCCAAACACACACACACACACACAAACACACACACACACACACACACACACACACACACACACACACACACACACAAACACAAACACAAACACACACACAAACACACACACACAAACACACACAAACACACACACACACACACACACAAACACACACACACACACACAAACACACACACACACACACACACACACAAACCCAAACACACACACACACACACATATATATATATACATACATGGCTCAGAATCACTGCAAGAACGTGCGTGGCGTCATCATAATTTAAGGATACTGTTATTAGATGCCATTTAATCTAATTGAGCCTATTGCTAGATTCCATATTGTAATTACCTAATACAAAAGAACCCGAATAACTCAGTACACACTCTGTAATACATGTATTGTACATCATAAGCATATAAACAGCATATATACATCAAATGCCCGGGACTAAAAAATAAGTTCGTTATATCCATCAGTTCATTATAAGAGTGTTCGTTATAAAAGTAGTTTACTGTATAACTGTTTGCTGATCTTTTGAATCAGTACTATATCGAATATTTCTGTCCGCCTTCTATCCACGTCTCGCGTAGTTCAGGAAACGTCATCCTAACCTGTGATCACACTGCGGAAGGCAGCGTTACTCGACGCCCGGACAGTGACAGCGGCAGGTACTTCGTGAGTACAACGTCCAGCCTTCTAATACCAATCGGTTTTTTTACCGCTGCCATCTTTGCTGTTTTTATCTCAAAATCTTAGGCAAGGTCCGTTTTTATGTGTGGATTTGTTTGACCATCATGTTAAGACGGTAACATGTTTGACCAGTATTCTAAGACGGTATCATGTTTGACCAGTATGCTAAGACGGTATCATGTTGTTTGACCAGTATGTTAAGACGGTATCATGTTGTTTGACCAGTATGCTAAGCCGGTATCATGTTATTGGACCAGTATGTTAAGACGGTAACATGTTGTTTGACCAGTATGCTAAGACGGTAACATGTTGTTTGACCAGTATGCTAATACGGTAACATGTGTTTTTACCAGTATGGTAAGAAGGTATCATGTTGTTGGACCAGTATGGTAAAGCGGTAACATGTTGTTTGATATTATGCTAAAGGGGTAACATGTTGTTTGACCAGTATGCTAAGACGGTAACATGTTGTTTGACCAATATGCTTAGCCGGTAACATGTTGTTTGACCAGTATGCTAAGACGGTAACAAGTTGTTTGACCAGTATGCTAAGACGGTATCATGTTGTTGGACCAGTATGCTAAGACGGTATCATGTTTGACCAGTATGCTAAGACGGTAACATGTTGTTTGACCAGTATGCTAATACGGTAACATGTGTTTTTACCAGTATGGTAAGAAGGTATCATGTTGTTGGACCAGTATGGTAAAGCGGTAACATGTTGTTTGATATTATGCTAAAGGGGTAACATGTTGTTTGACCAGTATGCTAAGACGGTAACATGTTGTTTGACCAATATGCTTAGCCGGTAACATGTTGTTTGACCAGTATGCTAAGACGGTAACAAGTTGTTTGACCAGTATGCTAAGACGGTATCATGTTGTTGGACCAGTATGCTAAGACGGTATCATGTTTGACCAGTATGCTAAGACGGTAACATGTTGTTTGACCAGTATGCTAAAGCGGTAACTTGCTGTTTGACCAGTATGCTAAGACGGTAACATGTGTTTTTACCAGTATGCTAAAGGGGTAACATGTTGTTTGACCAGTATGCTAAGACGGTAACATGTTGTTTGACCAGTATGCTAAGACGGTATCATGTTGTTTGACCAGTATGGTAAGACGGTATCATGTTGTTGGACCAGTATGGTAAAGCGGTAACATGTTGTTTGATATTATGCTAAAGGGGTAACATGTTGTTTGACATTATGCTAAAGCGGTAACATGTTGTTTGACCAGTATGCTAAAGCGGTAACATGTCGTTTGACCAGAGTGCTAAAGCGGTAACATGTTGTTTGACCAGTATGCTAAGACGGTAACATGTGGTTTGACCAGTATGCTAAGACGGTAACATGTGTTTTTACCAGTATGGTAAGACGGTAACATGTCGTTTGACCAGAATGCTAAAGCGGTAACATGTTGTTTGACATTATGCTGAGACGGTAACATGTTGTTTGACCAGTATGCTAAGACGGTGACATGTTGTTTGACCATTATGATAAGGCGGGAACATGTTGTCGGGGATTAAACATTGTACATATAATACAAGTTAATCCAGCAGCTTCATGTTTTTGTTCATTGTGGCAGACTTTATGTCAATCATATTAAGACAGGAAAGAAAATGAAGCCTTGCAACGCTACTTATCTCAGCTTTTCCAGCCTCTTTGAACATTATTTGGGTTAAATGGTTAAATCTTGTTTAAATATACACAAAGAAAAAGGTAAAGCACACCCTTATATATTTCATTATTGTTTGGTCCCAATATTTGTAACAGTCATGAAAGATATAATTACGGGAAGAATTATGTTTTCTCGAGATGTAATAAGTCATACGTGACGAAAGCTCACGTACCATGCACTGAATGCCTGTGCAGCATGCTACACTCGAGTATCTCTAAAAACAGTATATCCAAACGTTAAAATTGCTTTCTTAAGCTCGGTTTTAAAGAGTTATTCCATGACATTGTGTGACCATGGCACGAAGGCGATTATCAAACGCCACAAGATGGCAATTAATGGGCATGCATAGCGCAGGAATGACTTGTAATTCCATTGGTCGGAATTTGGGGTATCACACTGTCGTAAGCCGTTTCGTCGAGAAACATGCTCAGACCGTTGATGTACAGGACCGTCCCAGATCCGGAAGACCCCTTGTGACGACACATCGCGAAGACAGGCACATTCTTCGTCTCATACGCCGAGAACCCTTTTTAACAAGTACTCGTCTTAAACAGCTGTGGTTGCCCAATCGTCGTTTCAGCACCAGAACCGTCAGGAACCGACTGAAAGCAACAGGCCCGAGGGTAAGACGAGTCATAAAGCGTCCCTTGTTGAGAGATCACCACAAAGCCGCTCGTTTAGCATGGTGTATTGCGCGACAGAACTGGAATCTGAGAACTTTGAGATGAACCCATTGGTCAGACGAAAGTCGCTTTCTGCTCCACGTCACTGATGGAAGAACGATAGTTTGGAGGCACCGGAACACGGCCTACACCCCCAGGAACATTAAACCGACTGTTGCATACGGCGGGGGCTCGGTAATGGTTTGGGGGCTGTATCTCTCATTATTGCAGGTTGGATTATGTCACCATGAGGGGCAACTTAACAGGAGCTCAGTACATCCAGTCGCCATTCCTCATTTTGACAAGCATCTCCTTGCTACTCGACATCAGTACCTGGATGACAATGCCAGGCCTCATCATTCGCATGCAGTCGTGGATTACATGAGGGCCAATGCAATAACGACTACACCCTGGCCAGCAATGAGCCTAGATTTGAACAAGATTTACGCCAATTGGAAGCAGCATTGGTTGTTGTTGACCCATCAACAGATCCAACGGAGGCATGAGGCGTAGGGTGGAATGCGTCATCCGGGCACGTGGCGGTTGTACCCGCTACTGATCTGTTTCACGTGTCATGTCAAGTAGAGACACATGAAACATCAAACGTAACTCGTTTACTTAATCCTGCAGCTCCATACTTTTTTTAGGTATTGTCTTGGTCAAAAACAGTACCTGTGTTACTTTGATGTTTTCGTCAGTAAATTTCAATCACAACTCACCAATATCTTCTTTAATTGTTGTCAATGTTTGTTCTATCCGATGACATTGGTATCGCCCAGCTCCTGTGGTCAGCCATCCCAGGCCATGATTTTTGCCATTTGTCATGGTTAAGAAATAGGGGGTGCTTAACCTTTTTCATGTTGGATGGTTTTTTTTGTTATTCTGTAGCAAATCTCGTTTCAGTACCTAGAATTGAGGAGTAAGTACGCATGTCCGGTCAAAATAAATAGAAGCACAACAGCGCCGCCCACTGAGTCCACAACTAGGCATCGACGGCCGATACCCCTTGCGTTCATTAGACCAGCGATAACACCCTCCTCTCCTACCTCCCCGCCACTGTTAGCTCTGAACACACTAAGTACAGTCTTCATCTGTCACATGTAAGTGGAAGCAAGACCGTCACAGTATTAGGTAGTAAATAGGTTAAGTAGAAAAGTGGCGGCCATATTGGCGGCCATCTTGGATTTCAGGGTGACCGCAGTGAAAAAAATTGAGCACACCAAAAAATTATTCTTTCTCATCACATAATCTATCAATCTAAATAGGTGAACTTAGTTTGTAAAGCGGGTACAATGGTAGTGTCAGATATGAGAAACAGACCTTCGCTTAGGGGCACTTACGTGCACACAGAAATGAATTGAAACCTGAAAAGTTTGATTTTGATGACATGAACTGTATGGCGTTTACGGTCTTCCAAATATGAACCCCCCAAAATGAATGTGTAAAACTTAACACCACACCTTATATAATCCTGTCCACATTAATAACAAATTGTACGATATCATTATCATGTGTTTATGAATCACTGTCAAATTGTGGTGATGTTCTCGAAAGGAAGAGCGTATCCTGCCCCATCGGTGGCATCCGTCACAATCACATGGTGTATTTCCTTTTGAAACTATTGTCTATCACTGTTGTATATCATGAAGATACTGACGTAAAAAGACGCTTAGTAACCACTCCGTTTGCACAGATTATTAAAATTTCCAGGAAGCAAACAAATTAAATATTTTTAAATATCAGCTAAACGAATGGGCTGTCAGGAAAGAAACCTTTAGAAGATTTTAGTTGTAAACTTCCTAAAGCGCAGATGCACGAGTTCTGTTTCCCGCTCGTATAGGTAATTATATACTACTCAATGTTTGCTAAGGGTCAGCACTTTAAAAGGTAATGTACTGATGGAAACGAATAAGGAAGCAATAAAAGAAAGAAAGAAGCAGTACATAAAAATTCAAGCTAAGAACATGTGAGAATCAAATGTCAAAATCTGGTGAGTCCCCCATGTCTACGGATATTTCCTTCCTCATTTATTTCCACCAGTATAGGTCAAATTGTGTGCATTTGTTGAAATAGAAAAAGACAATATTTCGTGAAGACATGTTTAATGATCAAAAGTCCGTTGTAGACTCGTTTTGAGTCCGAAACGAAATATACTACTCAAAGTTTGCCGAGGGTCAGCATGTTATTAGATGGTAATATGCCACATTGTATGCATCTGTTGAAATAGCCATGCACACATGTTTAATCAACAAAAGTTCGTTGTCATAAGCCAAACAATTCCAACAAAGAACATCAATAATAAGTCAGGTCACCCGTCAAAATGAGCGTATCTGATCAAAACTGAAACGTACAAAAACCACGACAACAAATTCATTATCAAAAGAAAAATCACAGTAGCGAGTATGTGATCCATGACAGCCTGGCACCGCCGTCTCATGCTCCCAATAAGGATGTGGAGTGTGGCTAAGGAACAATGGCCCACTCCTCAGTGAAAGCATTGCCGAGATCCTTTTGAGTTGCCGGAAGGACAGGGTGTCGTGAGAGGGCGATCTGCAGCTCGTTCCACGTGAGAACGACCCTGTCACGATAAGGTCGTGCGATATCGTCCATGAGGATAAAGTCCGGTTCCATTGCACCAGTAAACGGCCTCATGTACATATCCAGAATGTCATCCCTGCAGCGCAAACTGTCATCGTGCCCCGCTGTAGGACAAGGAGACCGTTCTTTCAGCTCTACATATCCTACCTCAAGTCATGATTGAGCCCCCTCCATAGCGACCATAGCGGCTACGTTAGAATCCTGAAATCATTCTCTTTGTCTATGCCACACTTGGGTACGACGATCTGTGAAGTCTAGGCAGTATCTCGATTCTTCAGTGACAAGGACTGGGACTCTGTTCTGTACAATTGACGTGATCTTCAGGACAATCCGAACGTGCCTTCCTGTGATGTCGGATCAAGGAGATACGAATGCATGCCCCCCGTGATCGGAGACCAGCATCACGGAGACGATTACGCACTGTCATTTCTGAGTGCGGTGGCAGTCACGAAATGAAGACGCCTTACTGCAATCAAGAAGACCTTTCTTCCCGCTGTGTAGTGGAATGCTGTCGACGACCTGCATGGAGCTGGGTGGCTGATCCAAACGTCTGGTATCGATTCCATGCCCTGCTGATCACACATTGGCTGACACCAAAGACGTTTGCAACGTGACGTTGTGTTGACCAATTTTCTAGCATTCCTATGCATCTGTGTAATTCTTCGGTCGTCAAACGTCAAACGCTCTGGCGCCAAATATGCATTGTTGTTGTGCTCTTTGATGATGATGTGCAACGATTCTGTCACGATACACCCAAACACAGGATTCCATGCACCTCGTGCACCTCGTGCACCTCGTGTACCTTGAGTCAATGACTTCAACGTGAAAATGAAGTTCCATGGGAGTTACCAATTCATTGTGTACCGGGATATTTCAATCTTTGCTTTGTCGATTTGTTTTCATCAGAACTTGACCCTGAGCAAACTTTGAGTGGTATATATTTGAAAATATAGAAAGAAGAAGAGTTGAAAAGAGGATCGTGAGATCGAATCCCGTTCGCCCCGAATATTTTTCTAGCTTTGGCAGCACCATACCCGTGCTCGTGGGTTTCACGAAAGTGGTAAACGTCTAAGACTGCATCGGTTCGGGCTTTCCTACCACATAAATCTAACACGCCGTGATAGAACTGGAATCATAGTTCAAAACGGTGTTAAACCCAACTCACTCACACACTTCTTTTTCAATTACATACATTATTTCTCGTTCAAGTGCAAGTGTCACATTGAAAATGTTGTACCATTGTATGAATGATGAATAATGATGCAACGATATGGTTAACAAAGTACTTTTTATTCCAGGGTGTTGATGGTCCTTCTGATTGTCCTAGCGTCAGTCATGTTCTACTTTCTCTTCCGACGGCTGAAAGCTATCGCTGGGCTAGGATCTTCATATAAACCGTCCCCTGTGGCAATCAATGGCAAACATCGCATTGGCGAGCCTTAGTACAAATGCCCTAGAAAGCGAAACATGGCCGAAACGATGAAACTCGGATCACCTGTCACATTCACTGCTGCTTTGTCCTGTAAAGACTCTCAGTAGGAACTGTGCATGCATATAATCTGGCCCAGGATTAAAAGTCATTGTTTTTCGATCCATTGAGATATTAACAAAAACAGCAAAGTGCATAGGAAACCATAGGAAATCATAGGAAATCATAGGAAACCGAGATTGTAATTTGATGTGCACGTCCATCCATTCATTCATGGGTAATAATTGTGTACACCAATGATCCTGCATTAGTGCATGGCAAAATATAATTAAAATTTCTAATTGAAGAGAGTACGTAAATTGTATTTTAAAATTATCAACACCGCCAATAAGCTGTCAATCATATATAGCTATCGGAATCAACATCAAATTCAACCAATCAGAAGCGCGTAAACAACTTGAATCTTAACCACCCTGATGCAGTGACGTCATACAAGTGTAATGTTGAACAAATAAAAGATTGTGCATACATTTTTTCGACTCACTCATTAAGCTGTTTGTTTCCAGTTCCACAAATATCTGTTCCTCGATAGCCAATCAAAATGCTGGAATATATATATATTGTTTGTAAAAAATGCCCGATAATAACTGTTGAATCCTAGAAGGGACATTGTCGAGTTGTCGCGATGGCGCATTGTCTCTCTTAAAAAAACAAGTAAAAAGTGTAAAAAATTTCCCAAAGCGCGGAAAACGCGAACGCGAGATCTCTAAAATGTCGCAGTTTGATTAAGGTTTTTGTGGAATATAGGGAGGGAGTGAGTATGGTTTTACGCCGCTTTTAGCAATATTCCAGCAATATCACGGCGGGGGACACCGGAAATGGGCTTCAGACATTGTACCCATGTCGGGAATCGAACCCGGGTCTTCGGCGTGACGAGCGAACGCTTTAACCACCAGGCTACCTGACGTTGACCACAGCGATGAAACCCACGAGCACGGGTATGGTGCTGACAAACCTAGAAACATAATCGGGGCGAACCGGGATTCGAACCCACAATCATAGGTTTCTGGCGTGCCCAAGGGACGCAACCCTGCACAGCGAATCTCGGCGCCTTAGACGAGTGGGCCACCCGTGTCAAATGGTTTTTTTACAAATCGATCAAAGAGACACGCATTTTCTTATTATTTCATTTCATGTTTTACTATATATTAAGAGATCATATAAATTTATGTGGTGATAACTCTACTTTATTTTACTGTATGCGTTCAGAAACAATCAATTGTGACCATTTTGTGTTTTGTGAGTGACTGGTGTGTGGTGTCTTATGGCTACTTTTATCCCCCAATGCGGTTTCCGATATCGTGATATTTTTTAGTCTCATGGATTTTTTACCCGCGCAAGTCCTAATTGGTAGCTATAACAATAGTGGCACGTGCAGAGGTGAGGTGGGTGAGGTGAAATGGGGTTTAATTAGTCAATTAGTCATTGATATAGCGACGTGCATGCACGTGTGTGGCTGCTTGTACTAGTCCGGATTGATGACGATTTATAGTGCTAGCACACTGAGATACCATGCCGCAGTTTAACATGAATACCCCACTCAGACACAGTATACTGACTTCGAGCCGACCAGTCCTTGTTTTAGCCCCTTAACGCCGAGCGCCAGACAGGGTAACAACAAGTACCATCATTTAACGTTATTTGGTATGGCGCGGCCGGGGATCGAACCCCGGACCTTCCGCACTCCGGGCGGACGCTCTACCACTAGACCAATAGATAAGAAGTTACATATTTTTTCCAAATGTACAATATTCAGTAAACTACGGTTATAACGAACTCAAGGGAACCACTAATTTCGTAATAACCGTAGTTCGTTATAAGCATATATACATCATTTATACAATAAATGGTCGGGACTAAAAAATAAGTTCGTTATATCGGTCAGTTCGTTATAAGCGTGTTCGTTATAAACGTACTTTACTGTATTACAAATGCCAATATTCATGTTTGTAAAATACAGAAGTGACCAGTATGAGACCTCGATGTGTCAATATTGAGTTTTAGGATGTATGCGCTTGTTCATTAAACTACCAAGTACTCTGACCCACATCCCACATCCCACCCCCAACATTGATACATATGATATACTAGACACATGTCGGGCTTGGTGATGGTCAAAGTTTACTCGGAACGTGTCACAGAGATAAACCTCAATATAAACCTACGTATCAGGCTTCAGTGGCCACTTCAAACAGCCCTAGATGCAGCCATGGTGAAGTCAGTAAGCATTGTGTTGATGATCGGTCTCCTTAGTATATTTATACAAGGGACCTGCAGTGTCCCCTTGAAACCCTGTATTCCCAAGTCTAGATGTTCCTGTGTTAACGCTGACGGGTTAATAGATCTTCACCCCCTTGCAAACAACGATGGAACACCCAGGTGAGTGTAGACTGGCGCAGTGTCCATTATATTATTAAAACGTAATAATATAATGTCTCAAATTACCTGACACAAACAAACAGACAATATAGAACCAGAAAATCTTGAAACATTTGTCCAAAAATTGTTTCCGGGGGTATTTTGCTGTTTTTATCATTCTGAACACCCCAGGGACGAGGAAAAAAATATATATCGCATTTTTTGTATTTAGTTTTTGTTCATTCAGAGACTGCTTCAAGTCTAAGGTGGGTTGTGATTATGTACTTATACCTAAAATGATGTCATCTAAAACAAGACACGATAACTAAAAGGCTGTCCCACGCAATGCAAGATAATCCGTAAGTAACTTGAGATTATGACATTTATCACATAACAGGTAGGATAAAGTATATATAAGGTCGACCGCCTCCGTGGTCTAGTGGTAGAGCGCCCGCCCGGAGAGCGGAAGGTCCGGGGTTCGATCCCCAGCCGCGTCATACCAAAAGACGTTAAAAGATGGTACATGTTGTTACCCTGTCTGGCGCTCGGCATTAAGGGGCTAAAACAAGGACTGGTCAACTCGGAGTCAGTATACTGTGTCTGAGTGGGGTATTCATGTTAAACTGCGGCATGGTATCTCAGTGTGCTAGCACTATAAATCGGCATCAGTCCGGACTAGTACAAGCAGCCACACACACACATACACGTGCATGCACGTCGCTATATAAGTGCAATAATCTTGGACGCGACGCTAAACCACATTTCACCTCACCTCATATATAAGGTCAGGTAGGTACTGCTTACAGTGTTTACAAACATGGAATGCCCCTTGTCTTTCGGCGATCTATTCAGATTTGACCTTTGGGGTTCTGGACAAATTGCTTGGATTATATATCACAATTCAATAGAGAAGTCATTGTTACTTCAGATCAATAGGAATGTAGACACTTGAACCAAAACATACCTTTGTAGTTGTTTATCAGACGTACTCTGAAGCATACTGTGCGTCCTTCCATGCGTTTGTTGTCATCTAAATAATTGCCAAAGAAACTAGAATTCAGTCTTACGAATTTCCATTTGGAGTGATGTTGCCTGTTGTCACTGTTCGACTGGCTAATCACTGACCTTGAGACGTAATATATTACCCTGTACATTCCAGAAAACACTTGCGACAGACAATCATTGAGCCTGTTGACAGTGAAAATCGTGTTTCACTTCATGCATTCGGGGGGGGGCACGGGTGGCCCAGTCCTCTAAGGCACCGCGATTCGCTGTGCAGAGTTGCGTCCCTTGGGCACGCCAGACACCTATGATTGTGGGTTCGAATCAAGGTTCGCCCCGATTATGTTTCTAGGTTGTCAGCACCATACCCGTGCTCGTGGGTTTCACCGAAGTGAGATGTTTAGATGTTTGGATGCCGTATGTGAGATTGAAAATACCTTTTTCGACGATGGAATTTAAGAATGACATTATTACGCTTGTTTGATTTAGGAAGGTAGATATCATGTGTTAGGAATAAACATTATGCATTTAGCCCACAACTCACTGGCGTGATAACCTTAATGTATTACCGGTAGTCTTCTTTGGTAGTCACGAAAAAGGCATCGCTTCAGTAAAAAGACATCTTCACGTCCTGTTTTCTGTGATGACATAAGCAGATGATGGACGTTCTTTAGGGCCAGCACGTTATTGCTTGATGTGAGAGGTGAGATGAGGGGTTTAACGTCGCGTCAAAGATTATTGCACTTATATAGCGACGTGCATGCACTTGTGTGTGTGTCTTCTTGTACTAGTCCGGACTGATGCCGTTTTATAGTGCTAGCACACTGTGATACCATGCCGCAGTTTAACATGAATACCCCACTTAGATACAGTATACTGACTCCGAGCCGACAAGTCCTTGTTTTAGCCCCTTAATGCCGAGCGCCAGTCAGGGTAATAATAAGTACCATCTTTTAACGTCTTTTGGTATGACGGGGCCGGGGATCGACCCCCGGACCTTCCGCTCTCCGGACGGACGCTCTACCACTAGACCACGGAGGCGGTGCTTGATGTAAGAAGCGATTACACGGACTACGTTTATCAACCACTGTTTTTTTCTGGTCCATACTTGATTATTGACAGGCCGCCGTGATATAGCTGGAAATTCAGCCGATTTCGAAGTAAAACCATCAAAACATCAGGCCACGTTCACCTCAATAAAAATGTTTCTGATTTCTCTGTTAGTGTGTCTTTGCGTTTAACACATTATGTAATATAGTTAGCCTAACTTAATGTACCTTTATTGGGGCGGTCGGGTAGCCTTGTGGTTAAAGCGTTCGCTCGTCGCGCCGAAGACCCGGGTTCGATTCCCGACATGGGTACACTGTTTGAAGCCCATTTCTGGTGTCCCCCGCCGTGATATTGCTGGAATATTGCTAAAAGCGGCGTAAAACCATACTCACTCACTAATGTACCCTTATTAGATGATAAAACATTTTAATGCCCTCTTCAGCCTAGATTCCAGTGTACTTACCTTAAATATACTCCCCCTGCAGATTCCGAGACATCCCCGACCCCGACGGGAAGACGTTCTACTCCTGGAACCCCTGCAATGGCTTCGATGAGGAAGGATGCCGGGACGTGGCGGTAAGCAAACTGGAATACTCTACAGAAGGATACAAGTTATCATATCAGTAACATTTCAAAATGAACAATGAGGTTACTAAATGTAGAATTATCGAGAGTAGTAGCTTTCCAATATTTGAACATGCGTATTTAGCAATTCCCAATGCTGAAGCGACATGACGTCACATTGATTCATTTTTGAGAATAATAGGGTATAACGCCATCGATTGTTCATGACGTGATTACACTATTACGTCATCAGAACCAAAGGCGTGTTGGATTGACACTTCATACGTTTCTCCCAGTGCGTACCATGCAGTATAACGTCCTTAAATCTCGGAATTACAACATTCATTGACGAAGAACAGACAATCCTTGAGCATGTTGACAATGAAAATCGTGTTTCACGTCATGCATTCGAGGGGGCACGAGTGGCCCAGCAGTCTAAGGCGCCGCAATTCGCTGTGCAGAGTTGCGTCCCTTGGGCACGCCAGAAACCTATGATTGTGGGCTCGAATCCAGGTACGCCCAAATTATGTTTCTAGGTTGTCAGCACCATACCCGTGCTCGTGGGTTTCACTGAAGTGGTAAACCACTAAGACCTGCATCACTTCGGGCTTTCCTCCCACATTAAGCTGACACGCCATGATATAACCGGAATACTGTTAAAAGCGGCGTTAAATCCAACTCACTCACTCACTCACTCATGCCATTCGATCCTCACTTACCAGAATCCGAGATCGATTCCTTGTTTTGCCCCGACTGGTCGATCAGCTATGTCTTCTCGAAGGACACGACTTCCTTTCCTCCAACAGTAAGCTGATACGCTTTAATATAACTGACGTGCACACCATTCAGTGTTGCGCCAGCCCGACCATTCGTTGAATATTTACCGCGCATGTCGTTAATCCAATGGCGACAGATAGATACAGGGGGCACAAGTCGCCTACAAGGCAGAAGTTCTCTGTGCAGAGTTGCGTCCATTAGGTTTAAACCTGTCGTGGGACTGAAACCCATAATCGTCTGGTAATGTTTCTTTGTTTGTCAGCACCTTACCCGTGGTTTCTCTAAAGTGAACAACGTCTGACTTCCGTATTACTTTCCTCCCACACCAAGCTAACACGCTGTGAGGTATCTCGACTATTGTTCAAAGCAGCGTAAATCACATTTACTAACTTACTTACTTGAACAGACCAAAGGAGACCATGTGTTCCACAAACCTGTTTTGACCATTTCAGGTGTGTCAGATAAAGGACAACGGTGCCACCAGCCTAAGCCTAGGCAACCAGTCCAGCCTGGTGTTCGTTGCGTCCTCCGCGTACGGCCAGGTGTATCAGTACACCAACTGGGGAGGTGCTAACTTGTAAGTGACTCGATTGGTAAAGAAAGGCGAGTTAATAGAATCCCATACGAAGCACAAGAGAAATATGGATTCCGTGCGTTCAATGGCATATTTCTGGGTGAGTGAGTGAGTTAAGATTTAACGTCACATCGGCAATATTTCAGCCATATAGTGAAGAGGGCATATATTTAAATGTGAAGGTTATATCACATACGACTTTTTCATTTAAAAAAAGAGGCTAGTAACATGACTGCGAAAGTGACGTCCATGTGCGCATTCGTGAACAACACAGTTTGATGGATTTTTCACGAGACTTGAAGTGACGAGAACACTGGGAATTCCCCATCTTGAATAACTAAGGAACAGTTAAATCGTATCGTTTTGACACGTTAATCTTGAACTCTGAGACTGCCTTCTTGTGATCGAATATTATGGCTACGAACCAGGGCCCCGTTCCACTAAGTGATCTTAACATTACGGCTGTCCTAAAGTCCTATACTTAAGCATTGACTTACGATTGTCGTAGCTCTAAGATCGCTTTGTGGAAGCAGCCTGCCTTGTCAACAAAAAACACATGCACACAACTCGATCCGTCCCTAGACTGTTCATTGAGAGACCCGTGAAGATCCAGAGTGGAGAAGGTCTTCAGCAACCCATGCTTGCCGTAACAGGCGACTAAGTTTGCCGTAAGAGGCGACTATGCTTGCCGTAACAGGCGACTATGCTTGTCGTAAGAGGCGACTATGCTTGTCGTAAGAGGCGACTATGCTTGTCGTAAGAGGCGACTATGCTTGTCGTAACAGGCGACTATGCTTGTCGTAAGAGGCGACTATGCTTGTCGTAAGAGGCGACTGACGGGATCGGGATTTGGCCTTGACTTTATATAGGTTAATACTCCAATGAACTCATAGAAGATTTATATTGTAGACTTTCAACAGACAGCATTGTTCACACATTGCAATGACGTCACAATAATAACAGCATCACAGCTTATCATTGTTGATGTCACGTTGAACCTGTTAACTTCCCTGTCGTCTATGGCGCCGCGATTCGCGGCGCAGAGTTGCGTCCCTTGGGCACGCCAGAAACCTATGATTGTGGGTTCGAATCCCGGTTCGCCCCAATTATGTTTCTAGGTTTGTCAACACCATACCCGTACTCGTGGGTTTCACCGAAGAGGTAAACGTCTTAGACCTGCATCACTTCGGACTTTCCTCCCACATTAAGCTGACACGCCGTGATATAACTGGAATAATGTTAAAAGCGGCGTTAAACCCAACTCACTCACTCATTTCGTAAAATTAGTCCGACACACAGACTCTTAAAAGAATCTCAATTCTTAGTAACAATGACCCAGAACAGTGAAGAAAGGTTCACTTCTTATTTCAGTTCCGGTAACGTGATCCTGACATGTGACGCAGGCGAAGAGGGCGTGGTCACAAGACGCCCGGATGCTGATTTTGGCAGTGAGTTTGTGAGTAGTGTAGCTTGGTCTAAGCTTCTTCTTCATCGAAATCTCGAGTGATTATTCGTTTCATGTCAACATAAGGCTTGAAGCTGTCAGCATCCTATTGTTCCTATTGATCACTACTACACTCCGGTGCAGTGGTGATAGCAGCATGCTACCACTGCCACGGGCTAATTTGCATATCACGTGACCGGACTTTTCTCTTGTTTGTAAACAAACGCGCTTTTTCAGAAATCAGAATAGAACGGACTAATGCATGTATTTGGGTGCGCTTACATATTGTTTTGCATAATTATATAGATATGATACTACAACTGCGGCAGTGAGTTGCATGACGATACATATTTACAGATCAAAGTGACCGTGTCGCTAGCTCTCCGTAGGGATTCGATGACAGCACGTGGAGGCGTACAACCAATGTAAACATAGGATAACTACGCAAATGGATATAGATTTTCACGATTTAAGATATGTTCTCAATGAAAGTTAACCATTCTATGACATATGTTTATCTAGATATATAGACGTGTCAAAAATGAAACAGATGAAAAAAATATGCAATATCTTGAATGGACTGTGTAAGATGTGACGAATCGTCACATGGCGCTGGCCTGTGGCAGAGGTACTATGCTGGGCGCATTGAACTCTGGGTAGGAGAGTAGATCACTACTTCGCGTGGCAATCACTTCTAGTTTAGATTCATACACCAAGTCTAAATCATATAATGCTTATACAACCGTCCCTAAAATTGGCCGTCGTGTGATACGTAATATAAGCGGAGGGATCGGTCGTTATGCGGTTTTCAGTGAAATTATGCAAAATCTCTACCCCGTCACTGACCGGTGTATTAAGAAGGGAACGGGAAAAGGCGAGTTTCCCCGAATGTATACTGTACGAAGAGCCTTCCCAGGGCGTGAGAACTTCGCTAACTTCTTGGTACCTGCGATGGCACCAGTATGGACGCGATTATTGCAAGAATCTTGAATATTTTCAACCAAGCACAAATTGTATTAACGTGTATATTTTGTGTGTGTATGTGAATGTAATTAAAATGAATTGCGAAATGGTTTCCAATTGATTTACTATTTCCCAGATTTATTAACTCGTTAGTTTGATAAGACATGTGCGAGATTCCAGACTTGACAAATTTATCCCAATTATTTTCAGTACACAAACTGCATGTAAATTAAAATATAGTTTCAAATGGACAAACGATCAAATACAATAACGCAGGGGTAAGCAATATTCTGTGTCACGACAATCGCAGTGTGATTGTAAACAGAAATCCCAGTAGGATTTCCGCCTAGCAACCCCTGCTTGTTGTCTATGGCGACTTAGTGGATCGGGTGGTCTGGCTCAGTCTCCTGGCTGATTGCATGTCGACGTACCCCGGAAACGTGGAGCGTTGCTCATGATATCAATCACTGGATTGGCTAGTCCAGATTCGATACAGACCGGCGTCATACAGCTGGAATATTGCTGAGTGGGGCGTTAAACAAAACGCCGAGTAAGCAGGTCAGTAGGCTGACCTATCGCTGTGAGGAGCTTTGCCTACTATGAGTGAGTGAGTGAGTGAGTATGGTTTTACGCCGCTTTTAGCAATATTCCAGCAATATCACGGCGGGGGACACCAGAAATGGGCTTCACACATTGTTCCCATGTCGGGATTCGAACCCGGGTCTTCGGCGTGACGAGCGAACGCTTTAACCACTAGGCTACCCGACCGCCCGCCTACTATGATGGGGATGAAGGTGTTATTATAACAATGTCATGTGAAATTTTGCAATCTGTTTGCAAAGTAACCGTTGATATCTGCATATTGTTTCTTTGTATAAAGTGTGATTTGTTCACAGTACCTTGAACTGAAAAGCAAGTACGCATGCCCACAAAAGATCAACGTAAGTACCTCATCACTACCTACGGCCTCCACGACAACGCATCGACGGCCGACAACTCCGGCCTTTATCGGAACAGCTAAGACTCCGTCCCCACCTCCCACTACGGAGAAGCCACTATTTGACATGGACCACCTCGGCGTCTTAATGATTGTTGTTTTGTACGTAACATGCATACTTCTTTCCTTGTATAGTTTATTGATGTCTAACACGATAGAGGGTATGATGGGCAAAGTCTTCCATGGCAGCGGAACACTGTGCAAAGTTGCCTCCCTTTGGCGCGTCAGAGGCCTATGATCATGGGGTCGAGTTCCTCATAAAGATGCTTGGTATGTCAGCACCTTTCCCTGTTCGGGGCCTTCGTCAATTTAGGAAACGATTAAGACAAGAGTCACTTCGTGATGTTCCCCACACTGTAATATTGAAACTGAAACACACTCACTCTACCATACCTTCTTCCAATTTGTTTTGGACCGCCTCCGTGGTCTAGTGGTAGAGCGTCCGCCCGGAGAGCGGAAGGTCCGGGGCTCGATCCCCGGCCGCGTCATACCAAAAGACGTTAAAAGATGGCACTTGTTGTTACCCTGTCTGGCGCTCGGCATTAAGGGGCTAAAACAAGGACTTGTCGGCTTGGAGTCGGTATACTGTGTCTGAGTGGTGCATTCATGTTAAATTGCGGCATGGTATCTTAGTAGGCTAGCACTATAAATCGGCATCAGTCCGGACTAGTACAAGCAGCCACACACACACGTGCATGCACGTCGCTATATAAGTGCAATAATCTTTGACGCGACGTTAAACTCAATTTCACCTCATCTCACCTCCAATTTGTTTTGCTGTGTGAGATATTTGTGTTCAACGCCGCTTCGAGAGTACTTCCGTTATATCACACGTGCCTATCTAAGGTGAAAGGAGAGCCCTATTAAAATGCTAGACGTGCTGGACGTGTACGAAGGAGACTACATAATTGAATTACCTCATTATTAGACCCGTGAAGATCCGGATAGTATAGGTCTTCAGCAACCCATGCTTGTCGCAAAAGGCGACTGAGCTTGTCGTAAGAGGCGACTAACGGGATCAGGTGGTCAGGCTCGCTGACTTGGTTGATGCATGTCATCGATCCCAATTGCCTGGATCGATGCTCATGATATCAATCACTGGACTGTCTGGTCCAGACTCGATTATTTACAGACCGCCGTCATAGAGCTGAAATATTGCTGAGTTTGGCGTTAAACAACAAACAAACAAAACCTCATTATTATTCTCGTCTGTTGTTTCTAACATATTTATGTTTCTTCAATGTCACTGAATATCAGCAACACTTCAGCAATTTCAGCCACAATATCCTTATCCTTAATATCTAACTATTATTTGTCAAACCGAAGCACTTTACAAGTTTTGGTATTTTTTATTTACAGGGCATTGTTGTCTCTGCTTGTTGTGGCAGTGTCAATGATGATATTTTACATCTTCTACCGTCTCGGCGATGCGATGACGACTGCAGCATCCCCAAAGCAGGACTACGGTAGCAACTCCTCCCTGAGAGGCAATGAGAAACAGAAGCTGGTCACACCTTGAGACAACACCTCCATGTATCTGTCAGCAAACCCGTAGTAAACTAACTCAAGACAACGTTTGTTTGTCTGTTATTATCAGCTGTGGGTATTCGGCGTTAAATTTCTCAATCGTTATTCATTAATACCGTAATCGAAATAAACAGGGCCTTTAAACACACACACTCGCGCACACACACACACACACACACACACACACACACACACACACACACGCACACATGCACACATATACACACACATGCATACACATACACACACAGACAGACACACACATGCATACACATACACACACACATACATATGCACACACACGCACATACACATACATATACACACGCACACATATACACACGCGCGCACACATACACACGCATACAAACACACAACACAACACATACATACACACATACAACAGAGACACAACCGAACACACAACACACAAATACACACACATGCACACACACACACACACACACACACACACACACACACACACACACACACACACACACACACACACACACACACGGATTGTTGAGTGGCTCAAATCAGGTCGAAATAAACCATCACCTGATCCAATGTAGTCGCCCATTACGACAATCAATGGAGTGTGTGATCATGAGATCCATTCTCGCCCGGGTCACTGCATTACATAACGTTAGAGAGCTGCATTATTGCATCAATGGAATGTGCACGTTACAAATATTGCCAATTATACGTACATGCACAAGAATGTATCTATTTTTTGTAACATTTTCACACAACCATACAAAATCATAATGTTGACTAACAGATGAACGTTGTAACCATACTTAAATTATTTTTAAAAGTTTAATACTATCAATTATGCTTTTATGCATATCTGTTACGACGGTGAGTAATTTTCCCCTGTGCATCTTTAGTAACTGAATTTGGCCGTTAATAAATGTTTCCAGTGCAACCGAATGCATACTGACTCCTTTTTTTCAAATAGTACTTCTGATAGACCTAGTTTTAAAAGAACTAAATATTGAATACAACCAGCTGACATCCACACCAAGACAACAGCTATAGGGGAACAAGGCTCAGAAATATACACCCAACGGAATTAGTTCGCTTCCTCCAAGTAAACCTCCCAATATCCTGTATGCCACAACTATAAAATTTACTTGCAACAAAGGGATGTTCCCTACTCCTGTGAGGTGAGGTGAAATGGGGTTTAACGTCGCGTCAAATATTATTGCACTTATAGCGACGTGCATGCACTTGTGTGTGTGGGGGTGCTTGTACTAATCCGAACTGATACCGAAGGTTGTGAAGAATTTGCTAAGGTGGTAAAACGAAGAAACAATAAGATCCTAACAGCTTCCTGACCTTGTATGAGACGAATAATAAAACTCGAGGTTTGAATGATTGATTGTGTGTGTGTGTGCGTGCGTGCGTGCGTGCGTTTGTGTGCGTGCGTGCGTGCGTGCGTGTGCGTTTGCGTGCGTGCGTGCGTGCGTGCGTGCGTGCGTGTATGCCTGCCTGCTTGTACCAGGCTCGACTAATTCCAATCTTATAGTGCTAGCTCACTGAGATACCATGCCGCAGTTTAACATAAATACCCCACTCAGACACAGTATACTGACACCGAGCCGACCACTCCTAGTTTTAGCCTTTTAATGCCCAGCGTCACGCAGGGTAACAACAAGTACCATCTTTTAACGTCTTTTGGTATGACGCGGCACTGGATCGAACCAACTTAAGGGATTAGAGAATAAGCGGGTTTGAGCTTAAGAGGGAACTTACGTCTTATAACAGTTACACGTGATCAAACAGGTTTGTGTTTTTCTTCTTTGAGGTGCATTTTAAAGTTGGAACAGTAATCCACGAGATTTATAACGTTTTTGATTGCAACTAAAGATGTCATAGTCGGTAAATAGATTTTGCAAAATAGCATGCCCATTCATACACATTGTCTCTATTAAACAGAAAATGTCATAATTTCTACAAAAGGCAGAAAAATCTGAATCCACAATTTTATATTTCAAGCCGTTACTATTCCGTGAACATATGGTGGTAATCAAATCTTGTATAACTAATCGACTGTAGTCACTCATAGCATCAGTTGTATTCCTGTCTGATGTTGAGTCAATGTTTACAGGGGGCACGGGTGGCCCAGTCGTCTAAGTCGCCGCGATTCGCTGTGCAGAGTTGCGTCCCTTGGGCACGCCAGAAACCTATGATTGTGGGTTCGAATCCCGGTTTGCCCCAATTATGTTTCTAGGTTTGTCAGCACCATACCCATGCTCGTGGGTTTCACCGAAGTTGTAAACGTCTGAGACCTGCATCACTTTGGGCTGTCGTCCCACATTAAGCTGACACGCCGCGATATAACTGGAATACTGTTAAAAGCGGCGTCAAACCCAACTCACTCACTCAATGTTTACACTGGGTTTTGCCTGACAAAAGTATTGAGTACTCTCTTCATGACTGGTAAACTTGGTTGAGTCTGGTATTCGATTATCTAAGATCTGTAGTATCAAGGTTAGTATCTACATTGATAAACACACCACCACATGGTTCCACAGGCTGTTGTGCAGAGAAATGTGTGAACTCTGTACTAGAATTCAGGTTTGAGTTTACATACATAACAGTTTGTCCAGAATTATTGTCTGTAACAATGTAATCATAAGCGCTAGATTTAGTGTCACTGTGGCCATTGCCATATCCCTGCCCTGATGACTGACTTGGGTCAGCTCGTGACTCGTCTCACTGATGGAAGTGGTCCAGTTGCGACGTCTTCCAACCTTGCGAATATCAGAGATTTCATGGTCGTATATAAACACCGGTACCATCGATAACCAATTTGTCGTAGCTCATATAAGCGACATTTTTATCCCTCCTCGCTGCCATCGTCAAGGGAATTAATTTCGATCTAATCTGTCGCACTCGCTCCGTAAAATCTTCAGACACTCTAAATTGCTCATTCCAATCTCATTAAAATCAGATCTAAGTTCTAGCTGCCGCTTAACAAAGATCTGAGGACATCCCATTACGGGTCACGTCAGACCGACCTCACGGAAGTGAGAGATAACTTTGACAGAATCAGTCGTACGGGCCGTAAAGGTCGTTCGGAATACCCCGTGTAAACGTTTTCGAGGTTGCATGATTAGAAAACACATTCCGACTGTCACTTTCAGGATCTGGTAAGCGACGCTTTGATTGGTCTGATGAAAGGTCCTTCTGACGTGACCCGTAATGGGATGTCCTCAGATCTTTTTTTAGCGATAGCGAGAACTAAGATCAGATTTTAATGAGATTGTGCTCATTCCCTGTTAAGGTTTTTCTTGCAGCATCCAATACTTCAGATTTGTCCTTAAAGAAGGTGAATTTGGCGACCACAGGTCTGTTTCCTCTGCGACACTGCAGCCCGTGTGCACGTTCAATACTAACTGTGCTGGCGGAGCTTATGTTCAGTGACGAACTCATAAAATCCCTCACCGTGCTCTCTGTTTCACTCCATGCCTCACCCTTTCTTTCGCCCATGAAATATCAAGATGCAACGCCGGGACTGAGCCTCCAGATTATCAGGTTTTTTATTTCCAGGTCTGATACGTACGTGGACCCATAAGGGACATGGAGTCTGTTTTTCAATATTTTGATATTTCACTTACTGTTATCGTAACCTTTTGCAAATTAACAAAATTTGTCATACAAATATGTGATAAATCATGTATAAAAACAACCGAAAACATGGAAAATGTACTTTCAAGTAAATTCATCCTCTCTATCACCAGGGCGACCGCCCCCGGCCGCGTCATACCAAAAGACGTTAAAAGATGGTACTTGTTGTAACCCTGTCCGGCGCTCGGCATTAAGGGGCTAAAACAAAGACAGGTCGGCTCGGAGTCAGTATACTGTGTCTAAGTGGGGTATTCATGTTAAACTGCGGCATGGTATCTCAGTGGACTAGCACTATAAATCGGCACCAGTCAAGTACAAGCAACCAAACAAACACACACACACACACACACACACACACGCACGCACGCACGCACGCACGCACGCACGCTCGCACGCACGCACGCGCGTATGCATGCACGTCGCTATATAAGTGCAATAATCTTGGACGCGACGTTAAACCCAATTTCACCTCACCTATCACCAGTGCTCGCATTTCGGTCAACCTACACTTACCCCACGACCTTCACGTTAATCAAACCCCATTATAATGGTCTCTCGCGTGATCAAGTTCATGGTGGGTGTAGTGATTCTGCTGTGGGAAAAAAGTTTCATACCAACACAAGTCGTGGACCCCTAGACAGACTTCATAGACTACCAAGCTGTTAAGTATACACACTTTCGGATTAATCAACATGAACATTGATATTAAAGTTTGGAGATCTAGAATCGGGTGTTTTGTCCCTCGGGGCAGACGGCCACGATGCATGTATCCCGATATACCAGTGTTCGAAATACCTGCCTGCCCGACCGTCCGAGACGGGTTGATTTCAACTCGGGCTGCCAGATTTTCAAATCCCCCAGCCCGACGGTCGGGTTATATTTCATATGTGAAAATATTTCCTGATGATAAGCATTAATTAACATGTAAAGATGAATGATAAAATGTAACCCAAAAGAAACCCCATTAGCTTATCCTGAGAAACATATGATTATAGTGGGATTATAGTGATTATTATGGTCAGGGCTGGCAAGTATTTCAGCTAGCCAGTCCTGTGGTCTGGCTGAAATTTTTGGGAGTTTCATACCGTGGATATACAGCTACCATGTGGAACGAGGTTGGGATGTCGCCTGCTCTTGCTGTATTTAACATTGCTACTTGCCTCATGGGACGTCGAGTCTAACCCAGGCCCACCTTAAACACCCAACAGTTCTTCAGATACTAGGGTTCAGACTAGTTTATCATATCAGAATGTGGCAGGTCAATGTGTGACCCCGGATAATGAGATCACTCTTAGTGAGTGAGTGAGTTGGGTTTAACGCCGCTTTTAACACTATTCCAGTTATATCACGGCGTGTCAGCTTAATGTGGGGGGAAAGCCGAAGTGATGCGGGTCTCAGACGTTTACCACTTCGATGAAACCCACGAGCACGGGTATGGTGCTGACAAACCTAGAAACATAATCAGGGCGAATCGGGATTCGAACCCACAATCATAGGTTTCTGGCGTGCCCAAGGGACGCAACTCTGCACAGCGAATTGCGGCGCCTTAGACGACTGGGCCACCCGTGCCCCCCACTCTTAGTGACCTCGCAAAAACGCTTGAATGTATTCAATCACAAATGACATCACTCAATTCAAAGATCGATCAGTTTCTTAAGTAAGTGAGTGAGAAACTGGATACATTACAGGATGAAAACGACAAGTTGAGAAAACACGTACCTACGGTTGCCCAAAAGGGACATGGAGTCTGTTTTTCAATATTTTGATATTTTACTTACTGTTATCGTAAGCTTTTGCAAATTAACACAATTTGTCATACAAATATGTGATAAATCATGTATAAAAACAACCGAAACTTCCAGAATGTTGTGGACTTGTGTTGAATATTCTGTAATGCTCTAGTGCCGCTAGACTGGCGATGCCAATGTGTAGAAATTTCCAGAAGCAAATTAGACTCTATATAAGGGGAGAAGAGCATGCATGTCGTATCTCTCACACATCTGAGAACACATCAAGACCAGCTTTCGTGGGAAGATCACGCGGAATCTCTGCATAGGCCCATCTCGGAAGTTTGACCACCGTCGCGCTGGGTGGAAAAATTATTATCACTGACCTTTACTTTTACAACTGCATTTTTGTATTTGATACTGACCACTTTCATCATATGATATATACTTTCATTGAATATTTTACTGCCGCTCTATTTTGTACTGCCATTGTAATTGCGGTGTAGTAATTTGTTGTAATTCGTAATCCTAGTTATTCTAGTTAGTTGTATACTATTTGTTGGTTGTTTGATGGTTTCACACGAAGTTCTTTCACAGATTTCTGGGTTAAAATTGACACGTAACAATATGCTGCCACATAACACACTTCGTTTCGCTATCAAATCAGTGAAAGTGGTGGAAGTCAGCTAAATGTCGAGGGAAAGCCGGAAGATTCGCAAGTGTGGTAACAGGAAGCCATTTATTGCCAAATCATGCTTATATCACGCATATACAAATAAACATTACAATGCTCGTCACTCCCTCGTCACATGTCTGTCTTATCGGAAACAATGACAGTGAACAGTCTATTGTTTGCATACCTGGAGTACATCCTAATCAATCTAAGGGAGATAACTGTTGAGTGTGATGAATGCTCCACAATCTACTGATATCTTCATATACAAGTTCAAATACGATAATCTTTGCAGAGTTCATTGTAATCATATGACTGGCATCTGCTTTCATTCGGAAAACTTCGGAGAACCTCGGTCAATCGTGTGGTTATTGTATCTCCGTGTCCCTCAAGATCCAACGAGAAGGTGCGGATCGCCGTGTCACATGATTCTCACGTTTGATGACATTGTTGAACCGGAGTGGGGTTATGATTGTCTGATGCAAGTTTCTCTCCTGATCAACAATGAGTGCCTCTACGTTGATTTTAATTCTGTGCGTTTATTTCATCACGCACTGTTCATCTGAAGATTGTAAACTTATAAATCCGTGTTCATGCAAGAACTCTAAAGGAACCATTGATCTAAAAGCCCTGGGGAAAAATGACGGAACGGCAGCGTAAGTATAACAATGTTATCACGTTTGTTTGATAACCGATCAAGTATGTGCTAATGGAGTAAATAATATTTTATTCAACTTCGACCCCAGGGGGCACGGGTGGCCCAGTCGTCTAAGGCGCCGCGATTCGCTGTGCAGAGTTGCGTCCCTTGGACACGCCAGAAACCTATGATTGAGGATTCGAATCCCGGTTCGCCCCAAGTATGTTTCTAGGTTTGTCAGCACCATACCCGTGCTCGTGGGTTTCACCGAAGTGGTAAACGTCTGAGACCTGCATCACTTCGGGCTTTCCTCCCACATTAAGCTGACACGCCGTGATATAACTTGAATAATATTAAAAGCGGCGTTAAACTCACTCACTCACTCACTTCGACCCCAAACTGATATTACAATATTGGGATATGCCTAGGTTATCTATATCTACTGATAAGTGAGTCATCCTAACTATATCAAGGCGGTCAGTACATAACTGAGGAATGTCAAACCAGTGAGCGATAGTATGAGCAAGGAAATTGGCAAGATGTAATGTCACAGAACGTGGCCACCCGAACCCAATTTTCGTGAGCACTTTCTCTACTTATATATGGATCCTGTGCCATTAGCGTTATAACAATCGTAGGTCGTATCCACGAAAGAGATTATTTGATAGCTTTCTTACATACGTATTTAAGGAAAAATACTTAAATGAAAATGACAAAAACAAAAACAAAAATGTCAAAAACAAAAGCGAAAATGTCAAAAACTAAAATGAAAATACAGAAAACGATTTCCACCGCGGTGATAAAATTTCCACCGCGGTGGAAATACTTTTCACCACAATGGAAATAGTTTTCTGCATTTTTCATTTTCGTTTTAACATTTTCGCCTTTGTTTTTGACATTTTCGTTTTTGTTTTTGTCATTTTCATTTAAGTTTTTGACCTTTTCGTTTTTGTTTTTGACCTTTTCGTTTTTGTTTTTGACATTTTCATTTTAGTTTTTGACATTTTCGCTTCACTTTTCAGCGATTCAATATCTTCTTTATACATGATTTATCACATATTTGTATGACAAATCGTGTTAACTTGCAAAAGGTTACGATAACAGTAAGTGAAATATCAAAATATTGAAAAACAGACTCAATGTCCCTTATGGGCCACCGTAGCCCTGGTTCACAACGAATGTCGATAATCATGGTACAGGGCTTCAGAACTGATTAGAATTATAACCTTTGCTGATAGGAGACAAGTAAGGATTGTAACCACACGTGGCCGTACACAATGTGATGATAGCACAGGATAACGTATGCACTTGACCACAATAAAGATACATACATAAAACCAGGTTAAATGTTTACAACTAAACTGACGGCCAAAAGAACCTTTATCACTTTACCAATTAAATTATAAAAATTAAAATCACAAGTTCAAACTAAAACAAGGCAAAACACATCGTCCAAACACAGCAATGCTCTATACAGAAAGTGATTACACGTCCATTTGAAGAAAATGCGAAAAAGCGAAAAACACGTACCACTTGGGCAAACTACACGTGCTAAAAGGGTACATACATTATGAAAAGGCGGACCCAGGGTAACTACGCCCAACGAAGACCGGTACTTGCGTACTTCGCATCTCCGCAATCGATTCCTGACAGTAACGTCATCAGCGTTGAATACTTTAGGGAATTGGTTAGTCGAAAGACAGTAGCCACATGACTCAGGGCTCAAAGAATTTGGGCCTACAGACCTTACAGAGGACAGTTATTTACAGCGCAACATCGTCGTCAGAGATTGAGATGTGCCCGGGCTGTACGTCGTTGGCGGCGACATGACTGGCAGAGGATCATCATCACTTATGGAAGCCGGTTCTGTCTGTTAAGAGCCATCTTCCCGATGCAAGAGAGTTAACTGACTTTAAAAGTCCAGTTTCCACCCTTGCCGAACTACGCTGGTATTATGCAGTTATATTTTGGCTGGACTAACGAGTCTATGCAAAGTCCAATCAAATTCGCGCAACGAAATAGAAATCCGGTTCGTGAACTTTCATGCAGATTTCAGTCGATTGCAGGATTTGCAAAGCATGTGCACTGCCAAAACGTTGTCAACAGATATTTTCCTAATCTATTCATGTTTTTAATCAAGGTGCTCACGTGATTTGATGCACTTCTTTATGTAAGGCCCGTTTTATCACAGTATAGATAATCGATCAGATCGTCTTGACTGGGAGCTGCCATTTTGGTTGAAGCAAATGCAAGTCACACGAGAGGTGGAATCTGATTGGTTCATAGGAGAGGCATAGCTGGGACATAACTCGTAATAGCCAAAGGTGGCGCGATGATCGAGGCCAGAAATTTCAGTATAGTTAACAATAACAAAGTTAATTATATAATAAAGAATTACTATAACACACAGTTAACTATAACAAAGTTAACTATAGCAAAGAGTTACTATAACACACAGTTAACTATAACAACGTTAACTACAACAGAGTTACTATAACACACAGTTAACAATAACAAAGTTAACTACAATAAAGAATTACTATAACACACTGTAAACTATAACACACAGTTAACCATAACACCAGGTAAACTCTATACCAAGTTAACTATCACGTCTGGTTAGCTGCAACACCAGGAATACCATAACTCCAGGTAGCTGATATTCATACATAGTATGTAACGCGAGACACGTAAATGTCAGCATGTGATGATAACATTACGTTTGAAATGACACAGAGAGAAATGTTCTCGCTTTCTGATGATAACCTGCTGATTTGCACCATAAAAGGAGTCCTTGCCTCGCAACAGTAGTGAAGCCATTGTTCAGACTATAATGCCCTGTTATTGTTACTACACCGACAGGTATGCCGACAATCCGGACGGTACAGGGCACTGGTACTACTCCTACAATCCTTGCAACGACTTCTCCGAGGGCAGTGGAGGATGTCAAAATGTTGCGGTAAGTGGGAATTTTCACCGATGGAACACCACCTAGGAGTGGTTGCGGAAGCTGCAGCATTGTGAGTGAGGGTGACAGGGTCCATTTTTTTTTCGATAAAATCCGAGCCCCCCAGAATATCATATGGTCGGTTCCTAATGTAATTTTACCAGCTGTGTATACTGATACCTCTCAAGAGTGCGTAAACTGGATGCCATTAAGTGGTATGCCGTATGCCTAGCTCCAGGCGCAGGGTTTGCACCCTCCATCATGTTGACATGTTTGCAGGAAGTTGCAGTGGTGCAGATGCATGTTTATCAAATCCTCATCTTGTAGGTAACAACAAGTATCTTGAGATACGAAGAACGGTGCTTTGGTTTTGTCATTCTGTTATTTTGTTAAAAAGCCTAACTAGATTCCTTTGCGTGTATGGCTGGGAGGGCCAAGCAGCTTCTTGTGTTACGGTGATCCATGTCATAGTTCACCTTGCTCGAAGACCGCGTGGTCTTGTGTATACATATATACTATAACACAACAACCAAATGTATTCTTACATTGATTGGAAGTATTTAATGTTGATTTAAACATAATTGAGTTGTCTCAAGGTGTTTCAAATTAATGATAAACTAAGGATCATAACTGGATTTGAACCGGTTAAGGGGCGCAATTGGGTATCGTATGGCCGCTTCTGGAAACGATAGAGACTCAGCTGACATGTAAGTCTTGGTGTACAGGCCTGTCAGACGGACCAAGGCAGCTCCTACTTCAGTCTCGGCGATCAAAAATCGGCAAAGTTCCAGGATGACCCGACAAGTGGACTCCAGGTAGTGTACAGCGCCACGACAGATACTACAAGGTAAAATTATCTACTAATCTCACTTGAGAATCACTTCAGATACTACAAAATGTATAGAACTAGTTGTCTTACCTGAGCATCACTATAGATACTACAAGGTGAAAATATCTACTTGTCTTACCTGAGCATCACTATAGATACTACAAGGTGAAAATATCTACTTGTCTTACCTGAGCACCACTATAGATACTACAAGGTGAAAATATCTACTTGTCTTACCTGAGCATCACTATAGATACTACAAGGTGAAAATATCTACTTGTCTTACCTGACCATCACTATAGATACTACAAGGTCAAAATATCTACTTGTATTACCTGACCATCACTATAGATAATACAAGGTGAAAATATCTACTTGTCTTACCTGACCATCACTATAGATAATACAAGGTGAAAATATCTACTTTTATTACCTGACCATCACTATAGATACTACAAAATGTATAGAACTAGTTGTCTTACCTGAGCATCACTATAGATACTACAAGGTGAAAATATCTACCTGTCTTACCTGACCATCACTATAGATAATACAAGGTGAAAATATCTACTTGTATTACCTGACCATCACTATAGATACTACAAGGTGAAAATATCTACTTGTCTTACCTGACCATCACTATAGATACTACAAAATGTATAGAACTAGTTGTCTTACCTGAGCATCACTATAGATACTACAAGGTGAAAATATCTACTTGTCTTACCTGACCATCACTATAGATAATACAAGGTGAAAATATCTACTTGTATTACCTGACCATCACTATAGATACTACAAGGTGAAAATATCTACTTGTCTTACCTGACCATCACTATAGATACTACAAGGTGAAAATATATACTTGTCTTACCTGGCCATCACTATAGATACTACAAGGTGAAAATATTGTGTCCCCACTGTTCTTTACGGCGTCTGAGTGAGTGAGTGAGTGAGTGAGTTGGGTTTAACGCCGCTTTTAACAGTTATATCACGGCGTGTCAGCTTAATGTGGGAGGAAAGCCCCAAGTGATGCAGGTCTCAGACGTTTACTACTTCGGTGAAACCCACGAGCGCGGGTATGCTGCTGACAAACCTAGAAACATAATTGGGGCGAACCGAGATTCGAACCCACAATCATAGGTTTCTGACGTGCCAAAGGGACGCAACACTGCATAGCGAATCTCGGCGCCTTAGACGACCGGGCCACGGCGTCTGACCTAATGAAAGCAAACAGAAATGGACAAAAACGATTGCCATTGATCCCTTGATCCGAACATTCATGCCCCTTCTCTTATCACGTCCGCTTTTACGAGATATTACGCGCTAACCCTTTAAGTTCCGAATGCAATGTACAGGTGGTAAGGTTTATCTTCTAATTAATACCGCTGGCGGTCCAATCAGAATACAGAAATCTAAAATGTGATACTGGTGAATATTAATGAATATAGATCAAGATCATTTTCATTTCCTGGTTAGTCTTTATCAGTGTTGCACTTCTCCGTTGTCTAGTGGTAGAGCGTCCGCCCGGAGAGCGGAAGGTCCGGGGCTCGATCCCCGGCCGCGTCATACCAAAAGACGTTAAAAGATGGTACTTGTTGGTGGTACCCTGTCTGGCGCTCGGCATTATGGGGCTAAAACAAGGACTGGTCGGCTCGGAGTCAGTATACTGTGTCTGAGTGGGGTATTCATGTTAAACTGCGGCATGGTATCAGTGAGCTAGCACTATAAATCGGCATCAGTCCGGACTAGTACAAGCAGCCACACACACACACGTACATGCACGTCGCTATATAAGTGCAATAATCTTGGACGCGACGTTAAACTCCATTTCACCACCACTTTATCAGTGTTCTTTATTTTCAGAACATCTTATGTAACTCTTAAATGTGATGAAAGTACTGAAAGTTTTACGGTTGATGGAGAAAACCCCCCAGGGAGTGCAAAGTATGTGAGTAATTTGCTGTATATATTTCAAGTGAGTGAGGTTGGTTTAACGCCAGCTTGCATGTTGGCTTAATATGTGATCTTTGGTAGACGTTGAGGTTGGTTGGTTGGTTTGTTGTTTTACGCCGCCCTCAGCAATATTCCAGCTATATAACGGCGGTCTGTAAATAATCGCGTCTTGACCAGACAATCCAGTGATTGACATCATGAGCATCGATCCACGTAATTGGGATCGATGACATGTATCAACCAAGTCAGCGAGCCTGACCACCCGATCCCGTTAGTCGCCTTTTACGACAAGCATAGTCACCTTCTGCGGCAAGCATTGGTTGCTGAAGACCTATTCTACCCCGGAGTAGACGCGGAGGACATTTCCAAATTTGATGCATCAGTGACAAAAAATGATGTCCGATGCAGTTCCCTATCTGGACATGTACGTAAGTTCCCATGTTCCCAGGTAAACAATTGACTTGCCTTTTCATGTGTTTGTGACGGGTGCCACCGGTGGGGCAGGATGCGCTCACCTTTTCGCGAACACCTGGTATCATTACTATTTGATAGTTATTCGTAAACACATGCTCATGACATAGTCGGAATAGTACAATCGACTCTGCTTTATGAAGAGATTTCTATTGGATATGGAAAGGGTTTTGTTGCTTTATTATTTTCGTGAAACCCACGGTCACGGGTATGGTGCTTACAAACCCAGATTCATGATCAGAAGGAAATGACTGCATAACGAATTGTGGCGTATTTGAGAAAGGAGTTGAGAGTTTATGAATACCGATCACGTGACCTGGGTAATACCATCAAGAAGTCGGGTATACTCGAACAATCTATACCAGAAGTGAGTTTGTTTTTACGCCGCATTGAACAATATTTTACTTATAACTCAGCGTATCAACTGTGTGAAACAGGTCTTAGATGTTTACTAAGAGTAACAAGTGACACCCATTGAGCTGATTGAATGGACACATTGAACTTCGTTTTTCGTTAGTACACTAAAAGTAAAACGATCCGTGAAGATCCGTGGTAGAATAGGTCTTCAGCAACCCATGCTTACCGTACCAGGCGACTATACTTGTCGTAAGAGGCGACTTACGGGATCGGGTGGTCAGGCTCGCTGACTTGGTTGATGCATGTCATCGTATCCCAATTGCGTAGATCGATGCTCATGATGTCAATCACTGGATTGTCTGGTTCACACTCGATGATTTACAGACCGCCGTCATATAGCTGGAATATTGTTGATTGTGGCGTTAAACAACAAACAAACAAACAAACTAAAAGTAAAATTACAAACAACTTTGTTTATTTCAGTACTTTACGCTGACCAGTAAACACTGCTGTCCAAAAGCGGGACCAGGCCCAGGCCCTGGCCCGGGGCCCGACAATGGCGGGGAGGGACTATCTGGAGGCAGCATCGTTGTCATAATGTACGTACAGTTGGGTTCCTACATTGTATAGAGTTCGAGTGAGTGAGTGAGTGAGTGAGTGAGTATCGTTTTAAGCCGCTCTTAGCAATATACCATTAATATCACGACGGGGGACACCAGAAATGGGTTTCACACATTGTATCCATATGGGGAATCGAACCCGGGTCTTCGGCGTGACGAGCGAACGCTTTAACCACTAGGCTACCAGACCGCCCCCTATAAAGTTCGAGTGAGTGAGTGAGTGAGTGAGTGAGTGAGTATCGTTTTACGCCGCTCTTAGCAATATACCATTAATATCACGACGGGGGACACCAGAAATGGGTTTCACACATTGTACCCATGTGGGGAATCGAACCCGGGTCTTCGGCGTGACGAGCGAACGCTTTAACCACTAGGCTACCAGACCGCCCCCTATAAAGAGTGAGAGAGTTGATAGTAACGCTTCCGTGGGAGTTTCGGCTTAGAAATAATCCTTAGGTCCAATGGTACCAATGGTCCAATGGACCAAATGGACCGGATGGTGGGACTATGTGACTTGGTTGTTGTCGTTTCAACGTGCCCCGGCGGGGTGGATCGTTGTTCATGATATCAATCACTGGTTTGTCTGGTCAAGATTGGTTTGTTTACATGCATATAGCTGGAATATTGCTGAGTGCGGCGTAAAACAAAACATATTACCCGAACTGCTAACACTCTCCACACCAATGGTCCAATGGACCAAATGGACAGGATGGTGGGACTATGTGACTTCGTTGTTGTCGTTTCAACGTGCCCCGACGGCGTGGATCGCTGCTCATGATATCAATCACTGGTTTGTCTGGTCAAGATTGGTTTGTTTACATGCATATAGCTGGAATATTGCTGAGTGCGGCGTAAAACAAAACACATTACCCGAACTGCTAACACTCTCCACATCCAAGAGATATCACAAAACGTGTGAGATTCTCTTACATGTCCCACGCGAGTATTTATACATGCGACGAAGCCAAATTTTCATGAGTGGACCATGATAGGAAAGCCAAGTTATCTTCTCTATATGTAAAAATTCTTCTCTCTCTCTTGCAGATTTTTTGGTGTGGCATTTTTATACATCTTGGTGGGTCTGATGTTCCAAACCTTCGTACGAAAAGCATCTGGAAGAGAGATGGTGCCGAACTACGGTCTTTGGTCCATACTACCGGGTCTCATTCGGGTGAGTTCTAGTAACTCGTATTTTACAATCATTGTCGAATCAAACACTACAATGTTACTTTTTGTACCAGCTGCTAATAATGGGGGAGTGGGGGTGAGGTGACGGGTGGCCCAGTCGTCTAGGGCGCCGCGATTCGTTTTGTAGAGTTGCGTCCCTTGGGCACGCCAGAAACCTATGATTGTGGGTTCGAATCCCGATTCGCCCCGATTATGTTTCTAGGTTTGTCAGCACCATACCCGTGCTCGTGGGTTTCACCGAAGTGGTAAACGTCTGAGACCTGCATCACTTCGGGCTTTCCTCCCACATTAAGCTGACACGCCGTGATATAACTGGAATACTGTTAAAAGCGGCGTTAAACCCAACTCACTCACGCACACTTAAAATGGGATTGTTTGATCAGCTTTTATCACACGCTGCACTGTGATGTCACAAGCAGGGAAAGCATTCCACCAGTTTGACCACAGAACGCTTTAGCCACTCGGCTAACGGCTCCTTGTCAGATAACGTGATGACCATATCATTCCAGGTTACCTATTCTGACCAGCTTCATGTTATTTAGAGGTTCACCGCCTCCCGATAGGGGGAACGATTGACCAGGTTGTCTGAGGCGCGGCAATTCACTTCAGAGAGTTGCGTCGCTGTGTCTTGCAATGGTTCGTTAGTTCGAATCCCGGGATTACCCTGATTATGACCCTTGATGCATCAACACTAAAGGGGCAAACAACTCAAGCCTTTTCTACTCGGTATTGCCGCTTACACTAACCGATATCACTAAAATACCACGAGTCATGTAAAGTAAAAAGCGTTATTTCTGACGCCTTCAAACGGGACACGTTAATATTTTAGAATTGGAGAGGAAAACTTGTTAACTGAGATTGTTAGTGGCTTTACGCTTGATGGGTGTTGAAGTAGTGTAAAATGATTGTCCCCCAGAGAGGGTATGTCAGACCACGTCATTCAAAGTAATGTTTTTCCACCACAGTTTTAATCGTAGTATATCTGTTCCTTAACCTGGCTAAATTTGTCATTAATCGCCAACAGCGGAAGGGATGATGTAAATCCGGCTGGGAACTATGCAGGTAGCAAAAGTACTGTAAGTCCCCATGGTCTCTAACATGGTGATCTACCTTCAGCTGCTGGCGATCTATAGCCCTTTTTTATATTGTACCGTTATTTATAGTGATATCTTTTTATACTTGTATGCTAGTTTTAAATATTAATCTGTGATATTCTAGGAATGTTACTGTCCATCGGTGACAGGTTTTTATTTAGTTAAAATACGTGTATTAAAAATGTATAATTTCTCGTCACGATATGGCTGAAATATTGACGATTTGACGTAAAGCATTAACTCACTCACTCACTCTTATTGTCTGTTACAGGACGGGTTCATTCTCACATTCACCTGTGGTCGACGGTCTGGCTACGGGAAGGTTTGAAAGACGCCTGTGTATCTGTGCAGGAAAGGAATCACACACGTCCATACAAAGCTAGGCACACAACTCACACCGTGGTTCCGAATAATCGATCGTTCAACAAAATAGCTCTAACAAGTATATTAACAGCTACGATGTTTCCCTTATCCTGCAAACTTTTGATGAACAGGCCGTCTTTAGATTTTTATTTTTCATCCAGAGTGTCCCGATTATGGCAAGGGCGGGTATTTCTAACATACAGTCCTTAATCTCTTGATATTCATACCTTGTGTAAAATTCCCAGCATGGCCACGAGCGTGAGGGTCTTGGTTGAGGGGAATGTAATACAATGACGCAGATCAAATGAGTGAGTGAGTATGTTTTTACGCCGCTTTTAGCAATATTCCAGCAATATCACAGCGGGGGACACCAGAAATGGGCTTCACACATTGTACCCATGTCGGGAATCTGTTCCCCATCAAAAGATAAACCTTTGTTAAGTTCAGTGCAGACGTGAGTACCCACTGTTTTGACACTGAACCCTTCGTCAAGGATACGGGTGGCCCAATGGTCCCAGGCTCCGCAACTCGCTGTTTGGTAGCCGTGCTAAAATCCGATGATTCTGAGTTCAATTCCAGATTCATCCTGCTCCTAAAGTTTGGCTTTGGTTGGTTTGTTGTTTAACGCCGCACTCAGCAATATTCCAGCTAAATGACGGCGGTCTGTAAATAATCATGTCTGGACCAGACAATCCAGTGATTGATATCATGAGCATCGATCCACGCAATTGCTTGGCCTTTCATAACTGTACTCGTGGATTGCACCAAAGGTAAGGTCTAGGGTCCACTTGCACAAAGCGATCTTAGCGCTAAGATGATCGTAACTCCCATACTTTAACATAGGCTTACAATAGTCGTAGCGCTAAGATCGCTTTGTGCAAGTGGGCCCTGGAGTTGCATCAGTTCAGGCCTTCCGCGTGATATAACTCATCAATGAAAGCGTGCAGCACCAAATTCTCCTCAATCACTTGATGTGTCGCCCAGACAGTTACCATGGTTACCATTAGTTATTAATGTATCTATTTATGTTCAATGTGGTACTTGTTGACGATATGAACTGGTAATGAGTTAGAGGCCAACAATACATCAACTATCATTTAACAAGCACAGTGTTATTTCCTTCCGGTCGCATACTTATTTCAGCCTCATATGTTAGATATGTCGATCCCTATTTGAATTTCTCCAGTTGTTGCCACAGTATTGTGTTTTTGCTTCACGTTTATCCCAATGCCATCCGTATTTATTATACTTAGAAAATGTTATCCATCTGTACATTTACCTTGTAGATTGTATTGCACGTCTGTTTCGTAATAAAAATCGTGTTCACCTCCATCAATAGTTTACTATTCATGAAAGTTGGGACCGCCTCCGTGGTCTAGTGGTAGAGCATCCGCCCGTTCGATCCCGGGCCGCGTCATACAAAAAGACGTTAAAAGATTGTACTTATTGTTACCCTGACTGGCGCTCGGCATTCAGGGGCTAGAACAAGGACTGGTCGGCTCGGAGTCAGTATACTGTGTCTGAGTGGGGTATTCATGTTATACTGCGGCTTGGTATCTCAGTGGGCTAGTACTATAAATCGGCATCAGTCCGGACTAGTACAAACAGCCACAAACACACAGACACACACGTGCATGCACGTCGCTATATAAGTGCAATACTCTTGGACGCGACGTTAAACCCGATTTCACCTCATTAATGTTGAGTTTGTGAACGGTTGTGGTGCTAGCAGTAAGGACGCGGTAATATGACATTATTTGGAGACACCAAGAACATCCTCTTTTATCCAATGTATTGTTTGTTTGTTGTTTAACGCCAGAATCAGCTATATTCCAGCTATATGGCGGCGGTCTGTAAATAATCGAGTCTGGACCAGACAATCCAGTGATTGACATCATGAGCATCGATCTACGCATTTGGTATACGATGACATGCATCAACCAAGTCAGCGAGCCTGACCACCTGATCCCGTTAGTCGCCTTTTACCCCGGATCTCCATGGGTCTCCATGGGTCTCCAATGTTTTGTATCTCCACCATGTCGTAACTACCCTACACCTATCCGCCACTGTTTGACCAAATAGGTATGACGCTACGAATAGCCGTCGAATCAAATAACCCACATGAACGAAAGAAATGCTGTGTTTATTAGTGATAAGGGAAAAGAAGATAACGTCACTTCCTGTGTTGGCGAATGGGTCCATGGGGATGTAATACCCTAGATAATCGAGGATGCCCAAAGAAATCATGCACGGATTTCATGACGTCAGACAATCCTCACACTTGCCTTTCGTTGGTGAATAAAGCGTCTGTACGGAGCGTTAAAGGCCGGTTGCCCGATCCCCGACCGCGTTAAACTAAGAGACGTACTTGCCATTACACTACCTGGGGCTCGGCATTAAGGGGATAAAGCAAGGCCTGGTCGGCTCAGAGTCAGTATATCCATGTTAACGCGGTTGCCTAGTGATATATAACCGGCATAAGTACCATACACAAACGTGCATGCACGTCTCTACATACATGTAAGTGCAATAATCGTAATCGCGTCATTAAACACAATTTGACCATCACCACGACAGGCTCATTGCATATCACAAGACCGTATTTTTTTTCTTGTTTGTAAACATATGAGCGGTTTGCTGAAGTTAGATGCGTCTGGGGCAAATGTAAGTATCAATTGTATTGTACAGTACACTACGTTTATAACGAACACGCTTATTACGAACTTCCGGATATAACGAACTGTTTCTTGGCGCTTATTACGTCGAACAGACCGAGGCCTCATGAACTTTAATTCTCTGAAAATACGATACAACATAAAAGGAACCTTCTTAGATTATGATAGGATGTTATATAACATACCGGAAAGAAGGAGAGAAACCGTAGCAAATTCACCTTAAATTCCTACATGATGACTAAATGATTCCGGGGCCGTCAGGTAGCCAAAGACCCGGGTTCGAGTCCCGACATGGGTACAATGTGTGAAGCCCATTACTGTTGTCCCCCGCCGTGATATTGCTGGAATATTGCTAAAAGCGGCGTAAAACCATACTCACTCACTCACCCACTCACTCACTAAATGATACCCAACTAACTATTATAAATCCTTCAAAAGGTTCTAGGATTTTTTTATGATCAGTTTCTTGCAACGGAAAACTTACCTATTGTTTGTTCAAATTGGTGACATCATGTAACGGATGACATTTCATGGAACGAAATATTTCTACAATATAGGAAATGCACTACAGATAACAAACCAAAATAGATTTCCAGTATAAATTTCTGCATAGAATTGTGTATACAAGTGCATGAAGGAATTACTGGTAATGCGTTTTGTTGACAATAGTGAATGTTCATTCTGTGAAATCGAAAATGAATCGCTAATACATGTATTTATGGAATGTCATCATGTTAGAAAATTGTGGACAGAATAGAACATTTCATAAAGAATATTTCTCCACAAACTTTTCAATTGGATAATAACTTAATTATGTTTTGCTCCACACCAAGATTCAATGAGGTAATAAGTCAAATTACCATAGCCTGTAGTGAATGAGTATGGTTTTACGCCGCAATATTCCAGCAATATCACGGCGGGGGACACCAGAAATGGGCTTCACACATTGTACCCATGTCGGGAATCGAACCTGGGTCTTCGGCGTGACGAGCGAACGCTTTAACCACTAGGCTACCCGACCGCCCCACCATTGCCTGTAAACGAGACGTGAAACACATTTCGCCTCACCTCATGTAAGCTGAACTCCTTCTCTTCATATCAAAACAGAGACACCAGGATACAAGCTGGATTTTACAGTACGTCTCGAAATGATAACCCGTGGGAATAAAAGCATAATTTCAGTTCACTAGACGGCGTCACAGCATTCTCTGATGACGTCACTCTCAGTTGTATATATTTCTAATACGTCCCTCCGGCACATAATGTTCTGTGATGACGCCTCCCGGGTTCCATATGTCCTCAATACGTCCATCCGGCGATTCCATCGGTTGTAGGAGTGGCAGAAGATAGAGGTCAGAGCTTTGCAAAAAGGCCGGTAGGAGGCAGTGTAAATAAGCACATTCCATAAACTGTTGGAAAATATGGCAACAACACCAAATTTCAACCAGCCACTGATATCTTCCTCCTTCACGCCAATAATCAGCTGAATAATGCACACAAACACTGGCACATAAGATACACAGAACACACAAGCGGGCAAAAGTGCCATCAGAGAGATTTTAAGTCTTCGACGAAGATTGACGTTGCTAACGATCTTTAAGAAACAAAATACAATAACTCCAAATGTACTCAAAGGCAGCACCAAGACGCCAGCCATTCGACTCCCTATTCCAGATGTACTGTTGGTAAAAGCGGGAAGAGACATGGCCAAATGTGGATCGTATTCTGTGTCGATACCGGTCGATGTGATCAGTCCGATACGACACACGCCCAAGATAACCGTCAACACAACAGCTGCCATGAACCTTTTGGTTGTTACAATATTCATGTACTTCAATGGCCATTCAATTGCTATGTACCGATCTAACTCAGCCAAGGCGATGTTAAATGTCGTCTGCCCCAACAGAAACATGTGTATACAAAAGGACACATTCTTCATGACATCATAGTAGACGAAGCGGCGGGAAAACGCAGACGGCATGTAAAACACTAATATGAGACAACCCATGAAGAAGTCACAAACACCCATGAAGGCTATCACCCACAACGTCGGCATATGAAGTTCACGGGTCCTCACCACGACGAATACAACGACGCTGTTTGCCGAGATCACCAGAATACCAACAACGAGGTACGTCCAACCCAAGACCGTTGTGTCTTCTGAACTTCCAATCACGTGGTTTGTAGAGTTTACATCCGGGTCTGCCATCGTAATCTTCTTTTAATTGGATCGCTTCCTCCAAAAAGATATGAACCTCTCTTGGACAATAATCAATAACGATAAAATGTACTCTTTAAAACGGTCTCTGTGTCCGACACATTGAACACCGCTTTCCAGCAAGTGTTGCCCTTAGTTGTACGAAGTGTATACCCAATGATCCCGCTTTAGATGAGTGTTCTTCTCTGTCAGCTGGATCGGGGCTGATCAGGGCTGTAATGTAGATTCACCTCAGCGTGTTGATGAAAACTGCCAATATCAGCACCAAGGAAGACACTGCCGCCTAATATAGAGACGATAACAAGAGACGACGGCCAATGAAACTGTATGTTGGTCATGTAATGTAGATTCACCTCAGCGTGTTGATGAAAACTGCTAATAGCAACACCAAGGAAGACACTGCCGCTTGATATGGAGACGATAACAAGAGACGACGGCCAATGAAACTGTATGTTGGTCATGTAATGTAGATTCACCTTATCAAATAAGAGACAGCTCCACTTTGTTCACGCAAGGGAACGGGTTGTATCGACGACACGAGACGTTTTATCGTTTTTGATGAAAACTGCGAAAACACAGCACCGAGGGAGGCACTGTCGTCCAACATGGAGACGGTGACGAGAGAAGATGACCAATAAATCTGTACACTGATTGTGAGTTACCATGATCCGTGTATTGATGTTCTGAATGCAATAAGAGACAGTGACCACTTGTTACACAAAATAGCGGGTTGCGTTAACGACATAAGGCATTATCACGTCTTGATGAAAACCATCAATGCAGTCATGCTCGCTGCCACCAAACACGAAGACGAAATTATAAATATAGATTATATATTAATTTAAATAAATAAGTCGTGATACAATATGAGCTTCTTCTGATAAAAATAGTAATTATATACCTGGTTACTTTGGAAGAGCAAATGTGTCCTGCTACAAATTGGTTTCTTACTACGGTGGCCCATAAGGGACATGGAGTCTGTTTTTCAATATTTTGATGTTTCACTTACTGTTATCGTAACCTTTTGCAAATTTGTCATACAAGTATAAAGAAGACATTGACTCGCTGAAAAGTGAAGCGAAAATGTCAAAAACTAAAATGAAAATGCCAAAATCAAAAGCGAAAATGTCAAAAACTAGAATGAAAATAGAGAAAACTATTTCCACCGCGGTGAAATTTCAGCGATTCATTAGCTACTTGAAAGTACATTTTCCATGTTTTCGGTTGTTTTTATACATGATTTATCACATATTTGTATGACAAATTGTGTTAATTTGCTAAAGGTTATGATAAAAGTAAGTGAAATATCAAAATATTGAAAAACAGACTCCATGTCCCTTATGGGCCACCGTATCTTTCAATACATAATGGTAATTGTCACATTGTGGGTCTTCTTGGTAGACAGTGACAGTAAGTGAAACCTCACGTCCATCATGAGTTATTACACTGTCCGTATTCTTTTCAACAGGAACAATAACACACGTTCACTGGTTGTTACTTATGAAGGCTGGATGTGGCATGGAGGAAAATATATTCGCCCAAGGCACTTATTGCTTACGATGTATTAGAAGTGAGGTGAGGTGAGGTGAAATTGGGTTTAACGTCGCGTCCAAGATTATTGCACTTATATAGCGACGTACATGCACGTGTATGTGTGTGTGTGGCTGCTTGTACTAGTCCGGACTGATGCCGATTTATAGTGCTAGCTCACTGAGATACCATGCCGCAGTTTAACATGAATACCCCACTCAGACACAGTATACTGACTCCGAGCCTTGTTTTAGCCCCTTAATGCCGAGCGCCAGACAGGGTAACAACAAGTACAATCTTTTAACGTCTTTTTGTATGACGCGGCCCGGGATCGAACCCTGGACCTTCCGCTCTCCGGGCGGACGCTCTACCACAAGACCACGGAGGCGGTCACGATGTATTAGATATGTTGTCACATGGTGACATGCATATATTGTACCATAGGGGCGGTGGGGTAGTTTCAGGTTGGTCTTCTGCAATCCATTCTAGTCGACTAATGGGGTCGGGTGGTCAGGCTGATTTGGTTGCTGCATGTCATCGTGTCCCAATTACGTAGATCGATGCTCATGATGTCAATCACTGGATTTTCTGGTCCAGGCTCGATTGTGTACAGACCGCTGAGTTCGGCGTTAAGCAACAAACGAACAGACAGACAAACACAGTTATTCTGACGGTAGTAAACAGATTATACAGTAAACCTAGCAAACAGATTATACAGTAAACTTAGTAAACAGATTATACAGTAAACTTCGTAAACAGATTATACAGTAAACTTCGTAAACAGATTATACAGTAAACTTAGTAAACAGATTATACAGTAAACTTCGTAAACAGATTATACAGTAAACTTAGTAAACAGATTATACAGTAAACTTAGTAAACAGATTATACAGTAAACTTCGTAAACAGATTATACAGTAAACTTAGTAAACAGATTATACAGTAAACTTAGTAAACAGATTATACAGTAAACTTCGTAAATATCATATGAAGTAAACGAAGTTCTAAATTTTCTGTCGTACTGGAGAAAGACGGAAAACAGTGCCGCGATGTCAGTAGAGGTACTGGTGGCCCAGTCGTTCAAGGAGCCGCAATTCGTTGTGCAGAGTTGTGTCCCGTTGGCACAGACGTATGGTCTCCCCGATTATCTTTGTCAGCACCATACCCGAACACGTTTAATAATCGAGTCTGGACCAGACAATCCAGTGGTTGATATCATGAGCATCAATCCACGCAATTGGGATCGATGACATGCATCAACCAAGTATGCTTCATTAGTTAACATTGAAGGTGTATTACTGAAGCAGCCATATTAACGCTGTTTTGAAAAGTATATATTTATATATCACAATGTCCCAGATGAGCGTGTGATCTGACGGATTAACGTGAGTGCGGGTTCTGCCAGCAGAGTGGGACATGCTTACCCTTTCCGCCGGTGTCATCACTAATTTTCAGTTGTCCTTTCATCGAATTATCGCCCCTATTTTGCCCTTTATGCCAAACAGAATCTATTTCGGCATCGTTTATTCTCTTATATTGACGTTTTATATTTTACACTGTCAACGCATACATGTTGAATTATTTCATCATATTTTAAGTGATGATGGGTCAAGATGCAATCAATTATCTGTCATATCCATCTACTACATCAATAACCCTTCTATAGTAAATTAAACTTCTTTCATTATGACTATGCTTGTCGTAAAAGGCGACTTACGGGATCGGGTGGTCAGGCTCGCTGACTTGGTTGATGCATGTCATCGATCAAATTGCGTGGATCGATGCTCATGATGCCAATCACTGGATTGTCTGGTCCAGACTCGATTATTTACAGACCGCCGTCATATTGCTTGAATATTGCTGAGTGCGACAAACCAACCAACCAACATATCACACATCCCTATCACATATTAAACCATTTGTCCATGGTTTGATGCGCATATTTTAAGCCATCTTCCCGAGGCAAGAGAGTTAACTGACATTAAAAGTCCAGTTTCCATTCTTGCTGAACTAGGCTGGAATTACTGGGCTCGATCGTAGCGCCACCAGTGGCTATTACCAGTTATGTCCCTTCTATGCCTCTCCTATGGACCAATCAGATTCAACCTCTCGAATCACTTGCGTTTGCTTCACACAAAATGGTGGCGCCCGGTCAGGACGATCTGATCGATAATCAAAATCTATATTGTGATAAAACGGGTCTTACATCGCGAAATGCATCAAATCTCATGATCACCGTGATTAAAAACATGAAAAGATTTGGAAAATATCTGCTGACAACGAGTTGGCGGTGCTCATGCTTTGTAAATCCTGAAATCGACCGAAATCTGCACGACAGCTTACGAACCGGATTTCGATTTCGGTGCGCTATTTTGATTGGACTAAGCATAGACGCGTTAGTCCAGCCAAAATGTAACTCCATAATACCAGCCTAGTTCGGCAAGGGTGGAAACTGGACTTTTACAGTCAGTTAACTCCCTTGCCTCGGGAAAATGATTTTAAGCAGCTCAGATGGTCTTATATCGCCTCAGGCCGCAAAGATTTCTTCTTGTTGCCAAGGGGCTGTTCTGAACCCTTGGGCTATTCTGAACACTTTGACACGTGAACTCTACTGGAAGATATTACATTGTAATATAAACATCTTACATGTATACTCTGTACACATCTTGCTCACCTTGGATATTCATTTGTTATTAATAACATCATCTTACATTTATACTCCGTACATATCTGGCTCACATGGGATATTCATTTGTTATTAATAATAACATCATCTTACATGTATACTCCGTACATATCTGGCTCACATGGGATATTCATTTGTTATTTATTATAACATCATCTTACATGTATACTCCGTATACATCTTGCTCACATTGGATATTCATTTGTTATTAATAACATCATCTTACATATATACTCCGTACACACCTTGCTCACATTGGATATTCATTTGTTATTAATAACATCATCTTACATATATACTCCGTACACATCTTGCTCACACTGGATATTCATTTGTTATTAATAACATCATCTTACATATATACTCCGTACACATCTTGCTCACACTGGATATTCATTTGTTATTAATAACATCATCTTACATATATACTCCGTACACACCTTGCTCACACTGGATATTAATTTGTTATTAATAACATCATCTTACATATATACTCCGTACACATCTTGCTCACACTGGATATTCATTTGTTATTAATGACATCATCTTACATATATACTCCGTACACACCTTGCTCACACTGGATATTCATTTGTTATTAATAACATCATCTTACATATATACTCCGTACACACCTTGCTCACATTGGATATTCATTTGTTATTAATAACATCATCTTACATATATACTCCGTATACACCTTGCTCACATTGGATATTCATTTGTTATTAATAACATCATCTTACATATATACTCCGTACACATCTTGCTCACA